TCCATTACTTAAAATTTCTTTATATATAAAATGAGTGCTAGGTTGTTTAGCTGTGATCATTATGCAAGGATCATATTTCATATTTTGTTTAATCTTCAGTAGCCCCAAAGATTCGGTAATGTATTTTATACACCGATTTGATTATAGGGACTAAGCTATTAATATATAATACATCAGGCTAATTAATACATCAAGACATTGAAGTCAGGTAGGACAACAAATCACATCCATGTAGTGAATTACTGTTGAGTGGTATCGGTGCCTGGTATCGGCCTTTCATGTCCGATACGAGTACGAGTATTTTAACCAAGTATCGACCCGATACCCGATACTGGTATCGGTGCATCCCTAGTATACAGTAAATAAAAGCTGTTGGAGTCTGAGTTGTTGGAAAGTATGTATAGGGTGTCATTTATAATTTTGTGTTAAAGCTTATGATACTGCAACACCAAATAAATAATTTCAAACAGCAAAATAATTAACAATAAGGAAAGTTTTACATTAGAAATTTCTAAATTAGATTCACTATTGAATGTTGTTATCATATGGGAACATATCACAACATATCATAAAGTAGCCTACCTTAAAAAAAAAAGAAATTTTTCCAAATTTTTTGTTGACAGCACTTCAAGTTAAGCCATTTTAAGAAAAGAAAAACAGTCAAATATATCTTTAGAGATATATCATAGCGCGTACAGTAGAGGGTTAATAAAAAAAAATTTCACAGAATAAATAAATTAATTGCACATTTGCATTAAGTGTGCAATATTCCTTTCATAGTCAGGGCTATTGTCCAACTCCAGTTTGATTTTGGTTCTTAATTTTCAGACATTTAATGGAAACCAAAGCACATATGGGGTATGCAGGGGAGTCCAAACCCAGCATGTCTCTGATCATCTACTCGTGAGAATCCCTTTGATGTGCTATATGATTCCAAAGATTATCATGCTGCTGCCTTTGAGCCTGCTCTATCTCTCATTCACTGTTTGTAAACATCACTGCTTGAAGTTAGCAGCAGATCATGATGGCTACAGCCTACTGCAGGAATATAGGGGTGACAGAGATAAAGAGTAGAATTAGTCAAATGTGACATCATTCAATATCCAGTAAGACTGCTCCTGTGACTTTCGTTAACAATACTTTTCTCTCTATGGAGATGCTTCTGCAAAAAAAAATGCACCCTAGCAACCATTTAAATTCCTTGATGCAACTCAATTATGAGAATAAACATGTTCTTTGAAACATGTTCTTCAACTCGTAACAATAGCAGATATTTGTTTTATTAATAATTAGCATTAGTTTGAAATTATTTATTTTGTTTGGTCTTACATCTTGCAGGCTCTGTTAAGATTTTAAATAAAAAAAACTATTTGTAAATACCAACAGCACATGCAAGTTATGTACTTTTTTTTTTTTTTTTGAAAAGCGCTCTTACAACAATTATTAGCTGAATAGATTTATAAATGACAATGAAAATTAACATATACATAAGAAATGCTATTCATCTTTATTGCTATAGTGCTTTTACAGTTTAGATTGTGTCCAAGCAGCTTAACATAGATGTTCTAAATGGAAATTAAAACTGTGTCCACCCAGTTTTCAGAGTTATAGTTTAGTTTTTAGTTTCAATTTATTTCAGTTTAGTGTGGTTTAATTTTCACTGCTGAAAGTCCAAACAAGGAGCAAATCCATCAATGTGCGGCTCTACAAGTCTCAAACCAAGCAAACCAATGGCAATAGTGGCGAGGAACAAAACTTAGCAATTGACGAAAGTGAAGGAAAAAACAGCTAAAAGAAAGTAAAACATAAACAAACAGAAACAGAAATAAATAGCTGCAGTTAAGTTTTATTAAATCTTCACTATCCTTTTGCCTTCACAATCCTCATGCCTTTACGTCCATTTTTATGAGTGTAGATTGGTAAAACTAAATGGCATTTTCTGTTAGCAGATGATGAGGTTAAATCATTTCACAGACTCTGAAATACAAATGTTACATTGTGTCTTTTCCTGTTGTTTAGGTAAAAACAACTATGTTTATGAAAGCCAAAAATAGTGAAAATTTACAGTACTTTTTGTGTTAGAAAGAAAACGTCAAGTCATGGACCATAAACTAAATATGTCTGTTACATATCCAGTCGAGAAGGTGAGAGTGTTATCCTCAACTGAACACCTGATCACTGTTAAACTAAAGGAAGAAAATGAACATGATTGGCAGGAAACAAGTTACATGTTGAAAGTTAAATGCACAGGCATTTTAAGAAATGTTTAATTTACCTATTGAGAGAGTGTTGACTCTGTGTAGTTGATGGTTTAGCTTCAGAACACCGTCATGATGTGCTTTGTAAGTCGCTGATCAGAAAAAAAAAAGGCTGGAAATAAGTAACCCTAAATTCAACCACAAATAATTATTAGGCTCTTTGGGATGATACGGTTCTAAATATGTTTAAAGAACTATTAAAGATTCATATTTTAATATTATTTTTATCCATTTTTTTATTATTTGAATTTATATTTCATTTTTGGCCTGTAGTCCAGGTTCTGTTTTTTTTATTTTTATCATCCTTCAGGAACTATCATCTTCACTAAGTATCAGCAATATTAAAGTATGCAATGAGAGAAATGTGCTTGTGAGGTTTTTTTTTTTCTCTACTGGGTAATGGTCAAGAACAATCACAATGTCTGACTGATGCAATAGAAAGATACTGTATATAGTTGAAGTCAAACTCATAAGCCTGGTGAATGTTTCATTCTTTTTCAATTATTACTTAAGTGATGTGTAACAGAACAAGCACAATTTCATAGTATATCCTATAATAAATTCTTCTTTTGGGGAAAGTCTGTGTATTTAATTTGTATGCAAAAATAGTTTTTTATTTTTTATTTTTAGTGTAATTTTTTTAGCCCGCCAAAGATTTTTATTTATTTTTTTGTCAGAACAAACCACTGTTATCCAATAAGTTGCCTAATTATCCTGTCTTGCCTAGTTAACATAATAACCTGTACATTGTACTTTAAGCTGAATAATGTTATTTAAAAATAAGTACAAAAATATTATACATTGTCATCATATGTTGAAAATATGTTGGAAAAAAAACAATAAAATAAATATTGTGTGTTATATTTATTTGATTTTATTTTTACAAAAAATTATAATTGATGTCAGAACTATTAGCACCCCCACCCTTTGATTTTTTTTCTTTTTAAAATATTACCCAAATGATGTTTAACAGAGCAAAGAAATTTTCATGATAATATGTTTTCTTTCAGAGAAAGTCGTATTTGTTTTAACATTTTTAAACCATTTTAAGGTCGATATTATTAGCCCCTTTAAGCTGTATGTTTTTGATAGTCTACAGAACAAATTATTGTTACACAATAACTTGCCTAATTACCCTAACCTGCCTTAACCTAATTAACCTAGAAATGAGGTATTAAAACTATTATGTTTAGAAATGTGTTAAAAAATCTTCTCTCTGTTAAACAGAAATCGGGGGAAAAATAAACAGGGGGCTAATAATTTGGGGGGCTAATAATTCTGGATTCCACTATATGTATCCACTTTTTAAAAAACAAAACAAAAAAATCCAAATATTTACTATTTGGCAAATAAGTACACCCTTTGTGTGGCCTGAAACTTCTGAAAAGGAAAATAGCTTATGTGTGCATTAGTTCAATCCTGTGTTTGTCTGTTACAAAGTGGCTGTGAGGAGAGGTGCTGTCAACAGCAGGTATTACGTCCTATGCCTGTTCACAGTCTAGATGCTTTTATATTTCTGTTCTCTTTTTGTTGGTTTCTTGCTGTCAGATATTTTATCTACGTGTTTAATTGTATCTCTTTTTGCTGTCTAGTAGACAGTTAGAGGTCTGTCAGGGTGCCTCTCTTATTCAAAGCAGCCGATTAATTGCTTATGATTATCCTTGATCCCTTCTGACAGCTGAATATTCTTCGCTTGATTCTGTCGGCTTATGAAGAGTGTGTTCTCTTTCTCTCAGATGTCTTAAAAGCTTTCAGTCATGAAGCCCATGATTACATGCTTTTACATCATGTTTTAGACTTCCTATATGGACTTGCTGAACAAACAGCAGCATTTTTGAGAACTGTTTTTTTATTTTTTATTAATTCATTAATTCATTAATTTTCTTGTTGGCTTAGTCCCTTTATTAATCCGGGGTCGCCACAGCAGAATGAACTGCCAACTTATCCACAAAGTTTTTACGCAGCGGTTGCCCTTCCAACCGCAACCCATCTCTGGGAAATATCCACACACACACACTACGGACAATTTAGCCTACCCAATTCACCTGTACCGCATGTCTTTGGACTGTAGGGGAAACCGGAGCACCCGGAGGAAACCCACGCGAACGCAGGGAGAACATGCAAACTCCACACAGAAAAGCCAACTGAGCCGAGGATCGAACCAGCAACCCAGCGACCTTCTTGCTGTGAGGCAAACGTGCTACTGCGTCGCCAGTTAATAAAATCTACTATGAGATATCTGTTTTGTTTATGCTCAAATGTGATAATGAATGATGAATTTACATGATTCTTAAAAGAATTTTGATTCTAAAAGTTATCTGATGTTTCTCTTTACATAAGGGCAAACAGGTTGATAACAAGTAGCTGCTGTTTGTGGAGTTGCTTAATGATGCTCTGCTGAGATTTTGAGAGATTCAGTGTATTATAATTCAGCTGATTTCATCTAAGGCTGTGACTGAAGTCGTAGTTTTGTGTTTCTCTTCTGTTTTTCTGTTTATTAACAGCAAGTGTTCAATCATCATCAGTACTCAATCATCACCCAATTAATCCTTTCATAGTCTCGGTAACTTGAGTAACTTTAACTCAATTTAGAGAGGGACCAAATACTATCTAAACTGAGTAAAATTTACTCAAAGGATTTTGCTGTGTCCTTCTGTTGTAAAAGTCAACCTGTCTGGTCTAGTATCACACTGTGCACACCCCAGTTTTGTGAGATTTAATGAAAAACGCTTGGAAAATGTCTCACCTAAATGCTTTTTTTGACACATGTTCTTTATTTCTTTCAAGGACAATAACGAATCACAGATCTCAAACACATTCAATGGAAATGTTCTCAACACTGATGTCAGCATATTTAATCATCGTGGATCAAAAGTTTACACAAAAATATTTAAAATTTTTTATTCCTTTAAAACTAAAACATTTAAAGAGCTCAAATACTGAACATAAATAGCACATTGGTATATACTTGCTGAGATTTTTTTCCTTCTGTTTTCCAGTCCCTCAGTATTCCCCGCTGTCATATCTGAAAGGATGTGACATTCTTTCAGGGTAACTGTTTGCGCTGTAACTGCTGTATCGATAACCCTCAAAGTTTTCAGACCGCTCAATTTTAGCTGGAAGTGTGTCCTGGTATGACAGAGCAGATTTGATTACTCCCGAATCCTCAGGAATCTTCAGGTCCGAGTAGGAGTTGGGAGAGGGCTCTTCTAAGATTGAGTTACAGTTAGACAGACCTTTCACGTCATAAATGTTCTCTCCGTACTTGACGACAGACGGCTTTGGACATGGCTGGTAGGAAACTTTTGTGGTTGTGGTTATTATGGTCTGCAACGCTGCAGGGGTTGGAGCAGCAGGCCCCGTGTACCTACATGGGTAGTCACTATTGTAGTAGTGGTGGTTGGCGTTAGTCGGCAGTTGAGAGTAGTCTCCTCTGTCCCCATAGCCACCTTTACTAAGAATTTGCTTCCATCCGTGATGTTTTCCCGAAGATTCAGCATAGCTCCGTTCATGACTGCCTAATGGACTTGAGCCATGAGACACTCCACTTAGGCTAGACCCTGACTTATTGGGTTCTGTCTCCATTTGTGGGCTAGAAGGATCCTTATACAATGCTGCTGGATAAGGCCCTGAGCCAAGGTATCCTGGGACTGCAAAGTCATAACCACAGGGAGGACGAGTCACATACAGACGGTGGTTAGCAGGCTTCTGTAGTGAGCTCTGAGCATCCGCCATTGCTGCTGCATGTGTGTCGTATGGGAATTTGTAGGGCTCAGGGTTCTGAAATGTGGGATAGTGTTGGGTCTGTATTGGGAAGTTGGACTCTGCAATGATGCTGAATCGCTCTGGACCCTCCATGGTGAGCTGGTGGATATTTGGAAAGGCCATGTCATGATATCGTCCAGGCTGGTGACAATAGAAATTAAACGTAAAAATTAAATTGAAGTTTTCTGGAAATTGCCATTCATCTGGAGAACACCCAGAGAAAGCTTGCAAAGTATTCCCTCAAAATTATTAAATCAACAGCAATCCAAATCATTTTTTAGCTTATGAATACAAAAATTAAGACAATTTTTTTCTGACTTGATACTGTATACTTTTTTATTCTTACATCCCCAATTTTTCTAATATTTGAAATTACAAAGTAATTGTACAAAATAAGTTTGTACAAAGTTACAAACACTGTTTTATTTTTTGTACAAATTACAGTTACACTAAAATACATGATATATAAGTTTGCTTAGTATGGAACTATGAAGTTGTTTTAATGTCTTAACTAACAATAATGCATTGGAAATACAGGAATTATAGTTGTAACAAATTATAATAAAAATATAATAATCATTATTATTACTGACTATTGTTATTTTCATTATTATGTGCTGATCTATACCTATTATATTAGCATATACTTTGTGTATTTACAATTAACTTTAAGTACTACAGAATATAGCCACAGTTTTACCTCTGGCTCCACCAGTCTTCTCTTCTGCGAAAAGGGTGGTGAAGACATCCTTCTTTTTACCGCACTCCTTCTTGCCTCTGTTTCAGACTTGCTCTCTGGTCTGGGATGGTCATGTACTCCTTTAGCCTAAAACAGACATCCAGCATATAGGGAATTGAACATCTATCAATGGCATGATATTCATACTTCATAACTATTTAAATATTTAACTCTTTGTAAATCTAAAACATATTCTTGTTGTATGGGGATATAATTCTGTGCAATTTAGGATAAATTTAACAGGTTTTAATTTACCAGAACTTAACTTTAAGTTAAGTTTTCTCTCTCTCTCTCTCTCTCTCTCTCTCTCTCTCTCTCTCTCTCTCTCTCTCTCTCTCTCTCTCCCTCTCTCTTTCTCTCTCTCTCAGTAAACACAAACACACATACAGTTGGTCAAAATTATTAGCTCTTCTGAATTATTACCCCATTATGTTTTCCCCAACTTATAACAAAAAGATTTTGTAACACATTTCTAAACATAATAATTTTAATAAGTAAATTCTAATAGCTGATTTTTTTTAATCTTTGCCATGATGACAGTACATGATATTTTGCTTGATATTTATTTAGGATACTTTTATTCACCTTAAAGTGCAATTCAAATGCGAAACTGGATCGCTTTTCGATAAACAATTGAAAAAATATTGCTTAATATGGCTAATAATGCTGACCTAAAATGGCTTAAAAAAATTAAAACTTTTCCAAATTATCTCCTCCAGCTCTCCTGCATTTCTAATCGTAATAAATATTCTATTATTTTTAAGAAAATAAACCAAATTAATATGATGATGAGGATGATGTTGATGATAATAATAATAATAATAATAATAATAATAATAATAATAATAACAACAACAAATGTCTTCGAAGCCAGCCTCACCTGGAAAAATATAGCCTTCCCATCTACTCTCCAAAAGTTCGTAACAGGATAACCACTGTGACCTCGGCACGGAATCAATTCAAGAGCTGAGTTACAGTTCGGACAAAGCTTTTCTGCAAAGACAAGACATACAGTATTAAGTTAAGCTACATTACATTTCAGTTAAGCTTTTTATCATGCATGCATACATACATATGTAAAATTGCTGTTTTGCGGAAAATGTCATGTCCATCAAAATGATTAACAAGTCATAAGTGTTCCTCGGCTGAGTCATGAATGAGCGGATCAAATTCAAAGAATGAACATTTGGTGACCTAATGTGGGTATGTAATTTGGCTAGAGTATATTAAATACTCTCGTGGTAAATTTCTAAGTTCTCTTAACTGACATTTCTGCGTAAAAGTCTGTTTCCAAAAAGAGTTAACATATTACAACCATTTATGAATTTCTGTGGTACGGCTGATAATTTTAAACTAAACTATTTGTGCCTAGCTTTTCCTCAGTAAAAAAAAAAATGCACAAAACGCGAAGTGATTTGAAGTGACAGTGATCTGAATTACTGTTGTGTTAAACAGAAACTCAAAATTGCTAAAGCCTTCAAGAAAAAAACACACACACACATGAGGCTTTTTTTTTTCCAACTAAGTGTTTTAATAGCTATATATATGTCCTTTCCTATCAGACTTCCTAACGCGATTAACTCATTTGGTAATGCGTATTTGGTGGCGGGGAAATTCTGAACATACTCTGCTGTTTCTGTCGCGCTTTGTCACAGATGGCTGGTCTCAGCTGAAGTTTGGATCCGTCTGGAAGAGAGCAGTTTCGTGAGCACACCACCACACCAAGACAAGACTTTTTCAGGATCTGACAGTTATGGTTGTTCGTGTTTCTCATGGCCCATCCGCTCAGGTGTCTTTGCGCATTCTTATCTTCACTACTGTAGATGTAACGCACATAACCATCTGTCCACTCCTGAAAAGCATCATACTGCTTCGTGTCCTGAAAACAACAGTATTATTATATTAACATCAGGCCTATTATCAAACTGTACCATTCCCTTTTTAGCTTAGTGAATAAAAGTTTACTCTGGAAAAATAATTAAATATTTTAATAAATATGAAAATAATTTTAATAAATAAAATTCATTAAAAATGCATGAAATAAAAGCAAAACATTTACCTGTGGAAGCTTGGGGTCGTTTATATCCCAAGTCAACTTCATCCCGAATGAACACACGCAGTCTGAGCTGTCAAACTGATCTGAGGATTTGGACATGATTTGAGTCAACTCCGGATGATAACAACCATTTAAAAAATCAGTTTCAAGGCAAAATTCAGCTCGGTATCTAGATCAATTTACTAAATGGATCGTACATCTCACGTCCTTGGGAGCTTTACTTCCAGAGTCTTTTTTTCTCTCTTGTAAAATCCACGTTATGCGAGTCCGTACAGGTGCGCTTCACACAGGTAATGGTCTCAGGTAAATACTGCTGTGTCTATGTAAAGAAGAAGGCTGGGCTTACACACGCACACACAACCTCAAATACTTCTTTCACTTTACGTAATCCGTGCGTTTCACCGCCAATAACGAACGAGTCCCTTCGCAACAAAACCAAAAAGCTTTGACTTGATGGCTGAAGCAGTAGTTTTTGTTATATAGATTTTTCTTACATGTCTCAGATTTTATCTCCGCGTTTACAGTTTAAAAGGAAAATGACAGCCTCTTTTAAAGGTGAACCCGACGGTGTGGTATTTCACGCGTTGTCAGCGAAATTTATGCAGGACACTTTCACTGGGACTGAGCCGAAGCTGATGGTCACAGAACAGGACTGGTCCAGTTAGTGAGGTAATGTGATCTACTGCAGGTCATTAGTTGTTGTGTGTAAACGAAAAGCCGCAGTGCTGACAAAACACGGACTTGTCGTTAACACAACAAACACTATACGCGGCTCATCAACAAGCACCTTTTCTATGTATCTATTGGCGATCATTGATGTCATTGATTGAAAATGTCAAGTAATGATTTCAGGTGATACATTCACCCGGGGGCGAACTTCAAATGAATGCAACTGTTTGCTCCTGCTTGTAACAGAAATTTGTAGCGTTAATCTTCTTCTTAATGTTCATCATCATCATCATCTTTATTATAATTATTATTATTTTTATTATTATTATTATCATTATTATTATTATTATTATTGGGCTAATTTAATAGAAGTAGTATTATATGACTATTATTATTATTATTATTATTACTAATATTATTATTTGTTAAGCAAAATTAATTTTAAGATCATTGCAATTAAATTAAATAGGTAATGAATGGCCTACTCCCGTAAGTCGCCTTCATATATTTAATTTTAAATATTTCAAAATATAGGCCTAGCAGTAGACTGTAAAATATAATCAAATTTGAACGTAGCTTGGATAGCAAGAGAAACTCCAGCATCTCCGATTGACGTGTAAGAAAATGAACTATGCAAGAATACACGAGGTTTGCTTTAATTAAATGTGCCGTTTCCTTTGTCTGGGCCAAATGCAAACTGTCTCTGTACACTGTTTTGTCAGTTACACGCCGTTTTGTTAGTTTCAATAAAATGATTTAGTGCAAGGAAGTATCAAGGCATAAATCTAATGATGACTGAAATTATTACTTAAGTTAATATCGGCATTTTGTAAATAATATAGAGCATAATGTTACAAAATGCCTTATTTCCCCAGCGATAATTTGTCAGCTATAGCTGTACTATTAATATCTAATAAAAATGTATTATATATATATATATATATATATATATATATATATATATATATATATATATATATATATATATATATAAGTCATACAATAATATGTATAGCCTATATAATAATATTAACTGATCACACTTTGAAACTCCTGACGCTTAGGATTGCATGTTTTTGTATTTTTAAAAAGTTCTTATTAAATTAAATGTAACTTTTTTCGTAATATTGATTTGTTCCTTCTGATTTTTATTTCTATTTTGTCATTGACAACATCATGCAACCACCATGGCTTTTGTTTGCAAATCACGGTTTTGATATCACTGATTAAAATGAGCCCTTTATTTAATTACAATTCGGGGATGCCTATACTAACTAAATAAATAAATAAATGCACGGATAAAGGAATGTGCTACATTTGATTAGACTTTACCATTTGAATCCAACGTGATGTTCTGATTTTGTATCACAGTGTGCATACAGAGCATATGATAAGAACCTCTCCGACTGAAAATTATCCAAGAGACTGCACACATCTTAAAAATAAATAATTGGTCCGAATTTATTTCTATGAACTGACAGAACAGACCAAATATGATGAACCAAATGAAAAGGTTGTTGCTGCAAATATATATTTGAAATTGTAGTTTATTTCCCGTTGATCCAAAAGGAAAGATGTAAGCCTAACATGTAACAAATATAAAAAACACGGACACATGGGCATTTTATCACTTCACGTATAGCAAATTATTTCCAACACAGATCATTTGATAAATATGCATTTCAAAGAAGAAAAAAAACGCGTGGATATTCAAAAAAAATATATTTAAAAGATGCACATATGTCAATAACCTGTGAAAGAGAGGAGGAGGGAGGTAGAGAGGGAGGGAAGTAGAGAGAGTGAGCAAGCAAGAGTGAGAAAGAAAGATCGCATCAATGACCATTATAACGAGCATGAATCAAGGCATTACAAAATATGTAAATGCTTAGCTATGTTGTGTTATCATTAGTAAATATGCATTTACCAGTAATTATGAATGCTGGTATAGGTTTATTTTTTTTCCTATATAGGAACGACATCCTTTTAGATCGGCAATCAACTGTGCGCCATCCGACACTTGGTGCTTTGCGGACTTGGTGGAAAATTATTTCGAGAGCAATAATGTTGTAATGTTGCATTTTAGCGCTCCTGTCAGTAACTTTAAGCAGGGTAAAACTATATTATATCTATATAACTACACTATAACTATATTTAGTTCCACTCTTCTGCGTAGCTTCAATAAAATTCACTCTAATCTGTGACACAGTGCGACATGAGATTTTTCAGATTCTTCGAATTGGAAAAAAGACTAAGAGCAACACATGAAGAGATTAAAGAATTGGTCAGTGAAGTGCCTCCTAGATATCTTTGACATGTATTGAAAAGTAACTTAGTTGTCCTATACTCGCAATTATCGCTATTAAAAAATCACGAGAATAGCTAGGCTATCAATATATTGAAAAAAACAAACACAAAAACATCAACGCAATACCATAATGAGACAAATTGCATCAAAAATGTAATTCATAGACCCCCATTTGATGATCACACACACTTGATCTATTTTAAACCAGCATTTCAAATGCAGCTTGAACTATGCTTAGGTAAGACTCTGTCATAATAATAGACAAATTATTTAAATTATTACAAACTCTCACAGAAAGGTAAGAACAATTAAAATCAGTATCTCTTAAATTCTTTACACAATCGCCTGTTGATGAAGCAGGTTGTATTATGTTTTTCAGTTAAGAAAGAAACAAAATCCAGAGATGAGGTTGCAAGATTATTAACTTTGTACAGCAATTGTAAAACAACACTTTTATAACAAGTAAGATAATAATAAAAATAATCAAACAATGATGAAATATATTAAGTTTGTTGTTAAATATGTTAAGGGTTGTTTATATAAAAATATTTACAACCCCAAATCAGAAAAATTGGGACAGCATGGAAAACGTAAATAAAAACAGAAAGTCTTGATTTCTAAATTTACTTTGACATGTATGTCATTACAGACAATACAAAAAGATTATTTGATGTGTTCCTTATGATTAATATTGTTTTTTGTTTGTTTGTTTGTTTGTTTGTTTGTTTGTTTGATTGATTGATTGATTGATTTAGTTTTTTTCAAGAATAAACACATTATCTTAATTCTTGCAACACATTTTTTTTTTAAAGTTGGAAGTACAGCATTTACCACTTGTTTCCATTCCTTTTTACAATACCTAAAAGACATTTAAGGACTGAAGACAAATAAAGATTTTAGGTGTAATTTTGTTCCATTCTTCCTGCAAGCAAGTCAAGGTGGGCAACAGTATAGGGTCTTTATTGTCGCATTTTGCACTTCTAAATGTGCCACACATTCTCTATTGCAGAGAGGTCGGAACTGTAGACAGGCCGGTCAAGTACCTGTTTCCTCAAACTCCATAGCCTGGACTTTGTAATGTGTGCAGAATGTGGTTTTGCATTGTCCTGGTGAAATATGCATGGCGTCCCTGGAAAAGAAGGCAGCATATTGTGCTTCAGGCTGCACGGTGGCGCAGTAAGTAGCACATTCGCCTCACAGCAAGGAGGTCGCTGGTTCAAGCTGGGCCAGTTGGCTTTTCTGTGTGGAGTTTGCATGTTCTCCCCATGTTCACGTGGGTTTCCTCCGGGTGCTCTGGTTTCCCCCACAGTCCAAACACATGGGCTATAGGTGAATTGGGTGAGCTAAATTGTCTGTAGTTGTGAATGAGTGTGTATCCCATGGGTTGCAGCAGGAAAGGCATTCACTGCTTAAAACATACAGTATGCTGGATAAGCTGGCAGTTCATTCTTCTGTGACAACCCCTGAATAATAAAGGGACTAAGCCGAAAAGGAAATGTACCAAATCATAATTACAATCACCTGTTGACATCAACTGTTTCATATCACATCATTATTTAATCAATTTACCTGGTTACTAGCCCTAAATTGCCCCTGTCCCAACATCCTTTTTTTTAAATGTGTTGCAGTTCTGAATAACAGGAAAGGATATATATATATATACACACACACAATGTGCTTAAAATAAGATATAGTGATGATTAAAAAAAAATTCAGAATCATATCATAAATACAATTATAGCACTGTACCTCAAACCTTAATATTTTTATGACTATAAAACTTTAGCACACTTTTTATCAGAAATAGATTATGCTACTTCAGCCAGGGTTTCACAGACAGGGGTGGGTTCACATATATTCTCAGAATTAACTGATAAGTAAAGACTTTTAATAACTAACTTCGTTGTGCACATCATTTACCATTCTGTTCAATTAGGAACAAAACTTTTCAATTCTGAATATTTTGTGTTATTCATTATTCTCTGTCACATGTGTTATGACAGATGACAGGACCTAACTGCATCACCATGGATCCCCAACCACCTTCACCCCCTGACCCCTTCACTGAACTCTTTAACGCTCTCATAGTGTCCCTCAATTTTATCAGACAGATTGTGTCTAAGTCTCAGATGTACAGTGATAGACATTTCTGAAAGCCAGAATTAAAAAACTTGTTTTGATGCCTTTTTCCATAGAAAAATAATATATTTTTTAGCTATCACCATTCCATATTAGACAGCTTTTTAATTTGATGACTAAACACATTAAGTAAGTAAGACCAACCAAAAACAGCAATTGCTGGATCAGGAGCGAGGTCACAAGAATGAGCCTTAGAGTAGAATCTGAAAAATATGCTCAAAGCGTTTTGGGCACGACCAAAGAAGATATCCTAAGGAGCCTTCCGCTGATTCACGTTTGTTAAATTTAGAGGAGATAAAGAGGTAGAATTAATTGAGCTTAACTCTACAATGATGAAGCCAATGTACTACTTTCTATTGGATTAGTTGGTGTCTTGAATTATTAGAACATGTATTTATGACCGCGATAGACTTTCTCCAGTCCTCATTGGTAATTTGAATGCCTTAATCTGTCTTAATCTCCTATTAATCCTTTAAATAGAAGGTAGAAATGTCGAACTGATCAGTAAAAACATCTATAAAATATGAAATGAAAGTAGAGGCATCAGCAGAGGCAAAAAGTAATTTATATACATCATGTTCATCTGACTGCTAATAGTTCAAAGTGGGAAATAGATGTACTCAGCTGTAGATATCTAGGAAAATGTGATGGTAAAAAATCAAATTTATGTTTCAGCTGAGGGAATGTAGCAAATTTACCATCCATGTACAAGTCTCTTGCTGTGACCATTCCTTTACTGGATCAAATTGAAAATGTAGTTACTGAGTGATGGCTTAAAGGACTGTTATGAGCAATAGGGGTGGACAATGTGGTAGATGGCTACCTAAATGCTTTCCACCTTATTTTGAGAGAGGCTGCTAAATATAAAGTTTGTGTTGACCACTTTTAAAGATGGTGAAGGTGCCGCAAGACGTAGAGAGGAAATAGAGTAGTTTGTAACACTCTTTTTTCCAGTAGGATAAGGCTCTGCAGTTCGCAGCCCAATTTTAATACTGGAAGTTTGACAGGCCTAATCCACTCCGCGAACTGGGTTTTTAAATACAGTACGTGTAGTTTAGAGATACGGTGCGATTTAAAGCCCCTCGCAAATGGTAACACAATTGAATTCAGAGTTTTAAAAACCTTTTTGGACATAAGAATTGGAAAAGATATAGAAATCTTGCCAATGTTACCATTTTGATTGCATTCACGCTTCCTACCAAAGACAGCGCAAGGGTCTTCCAGCTTTCTATATTAAGCTTTAAGCTCTCTAGCATAGCAAAATAATTTCATTTGTAGATACCCTTAGCATTTTTCAGTACGATGACCCCCAAGTATTTCAGATTGTCTGCTGCAATTTTAAAAGGAAGGTTCTGTATAAAGCTTGGGTTGGTCTTGATAGATTGAAGCATGAGTTCACTCTTTTGCCAATTCACAGAGTAACTAGAGTACTTTCCATAAGTTTTCAATAAATTTAATAGGGGTGGGGTGGATTGTAATGGATCGAGTAGGTAGAGGACAACATCATTAGCATTTAGGGATATTTGATAGTCTAACTGGCCTGTCTAAGGTGGAAAAATAAGTGGGTGGTTTCTAATAGCAGTCTCAAGGGGATATAGCTACGGTAAAAAGCAGGGGTGAGAGTGGGCATCCCTGTCTAGCGCCTCTATGCAATGCGAATTGTGAAGATTTATAAAATGAGCACCGAAGCCCTAGGTTTGGCATTATGCATTGTTATTATCCAGCAAGAGAACGATTCTCCTAGATCCAACTCCTGAAGCACTGCAATAATATAGCTCCATTCGATGTGGTCAAATGCCTATTTGGCGTCCATTTTTGGGAAAATCTGATCACAATGGCCATTAATCAGGCGACCCCTGATTAATAAATGGACTAAGCTGAAAAGAAAATTAATGAATGAATGAATGCATCCAGTTTCTTCTTTGTGGACAAGAAGGATGGAGGTCTTCATCCATTCATTGACTACTGAGCTCTCAACTCTCAAATAATGCAACTTCCATACTGCATTTCGCTTGTCCCCATTAGAAGAACTAAGAGGAGCTTGTATTGTCTCTAAGCTGGGACTGCGGTGTGCATACTGCAGGCTGTCTATCTCTCCTAGCCATTTTCCAAGATTCTGTTGAGTTCTGGAAATTCCTCCATTGATTTGTCATCATCTACATTGATGAAATCTTTGTATATATACTTCTGGAACCTGGCTGACCATCACCACCACATGATGCAGGTTCTTTAGAGATTCAGAGACCATCACCTCTACCTGAAGTTAGAGAATTGCCATCAATCTTCTGTACAGTTCCTGAAACATGTCATCAGGTGTTGTAGAGTCCAAATGAAGCAGGGAAAGTCACCCAAAATTGTTTTTTTTTTTTTTTTTTTTGCACCATAGACTTAAATAAAATATTGAGGAAAATGTAATTGATTTGTTTGGTGTTCGTAAATAATCTGTAAAGAATATGTACTTTACAGGATAGCACATTTGCATTTAATTGTACACCTACTGTGTAGTTTAAATGATTTACTCAGGTTGTAAATATACACTTTATTTTTTATTTTGCCAATTTCCCTTTGCAAGTGTCCTATTAAAAATGTTACCTTATTAGTGGTCCTGTTTTGTCTAGTATGTTGTGCTCGGCTCGAGTTTTCTTGGATCGGGCACTCACATTTCTTGTCATTGTGTGTTTGTCTTTGTATGAGCGCCGCCTTGGGCGCACTCTCATCCTGGTGTGTTTGTTGTTTTGTTGGTGTGTTAGTTGTTTTGTTTGCGTTTCTTTTATTGTGTACTTTGTTTCTTACAATAAGTCTTCTGTCTGTGTTGTGTAAAGCCTGTGGCCTGGGGCCTCATGTACGAAGACTTGCGTGGAAATCTTACTAAAACATTGCGTACGCACAAAGCTGTAAATGTGCGTACGCAGAAAAAAATTCATATGTATGAGACACTGCGTACGCCGAATCTCACGCATATTCTTTTGTACATTCGAATGAACGTGAAACTGAGCGCAACATGCACGAGCACAAAACCCCTCCCTGCTTCCTCCCCCGTATGAATATGCTAATGACTATGCTAATGGCAAAACCCAACGGAAAAGCAACGGCAAAAGCAAGCAAAAAGAGAAACTTTGAACAGAATGTGAAATGGAGGTGCTGCTTTCGGTAGACCGGAGAAAAGCGGTGTTATTTGCAAGTTTGTTCTCCGGAATTAACAACAAAAGAAAAAAAGTGGGAGTGGGAGAGTTTAGCTGATGCGGTCAACACAGTTGGGTCTGAACATGGCACTGAGTGCATTAAAAAAAAAGAAATAGTGTGGTTTATACACACCTATTGCAGTACCCTTAGCAGTCTCTGTGGCGCACCTCGTAAGACGCATGTGATCAAGTATTGGCACGTTCGAGCTTAAACTCGGCTCGAATCCAGCGTCTGATGAACTCTTTCTTCTTTTTTTCCCCGCTACATATCAGATTTTGCCCATTATTTATCACGAGAAAGACAAGTAGGAATCATCAATAAGTTTGTGGATCATATTTTATTTGCACATTTTTTGAATGGAAATGTTTCTGATTCACGCATGCAAATTCATCTTCAGATAGTTTCTTTATAGCAATGTGCGTGCAGTAGATAGCTCAGATTACATTGGGAAAACAGGCGACTGCTGCAAATTGTGCTTTAATGTTTAGCTGGTCAACTGTATGGTATGGAAACCTTACATACCTACTAGATGAACCCGTCTCATACAGCTGCCATTGCAAGGATCAGACACTTTGTTGAGAGGAATTTAACACAACTGCCCTTTAGGAGTCGCCAATGGAAATAAAACAGACACGCACAAAAAATGTGCGTATGCCAGCCAGAAAGCTGCCGTGAAGCTGCGCACATTTCCACGTTCAGTTCATTGTTAGTAAATCCAAACGTGATCGATTCTGAGCGTGAAACCTGGCGTACCCAAAGTTTTTGTGCTTACGCAGCGTTGATACATGAGGCCCCTGGTGTTTACATTGTGAACTGCATGTTTAATGTTGTGTTTCATGTGAACACACGGTTAATGGGTTCTCTCATTGGCAGCGTGTTCAGTCCTGTTTTCTTGTGAGCACTTGGCTTTTGTTGTCTTTGTGTCATGTGCTCTCCTGTTTATTGTCTAGTCCAACCCTCTTTGTTAAACTTTTATCAGTTTATTATGTTCACCTGTATGCTTTTTATTGTATTGTGCTTATAGTCTCCTCATGTCTGCTGACCTGTGCCAGTTAGTCATACGTTGTTCCTCTCTAGTTTCCAGTCCTGCCTCATCTAGTCATGTCCAGCCCTGATCTCAGCCAGACTGCCCAGTCAAGTTTGTTTGTTTATTTGTTTGTATATTTGTTTTTGATAATGTTTGCTTCCTTGATGTAGATTGTTTTGCTGTTTATTGTGTTTAATTATTAATAAAAACCCATAATGTTCTCTGCATAGGCCTGCCTCACCTTTAACCCACCTAGAGGTGACTTAACCCGTTGCAGCCCATCCAGCTACAACCCTGGCTGCAGCATCACCCACTGAAGACACTGCAGTACTCCTAGAGGCCACAGAGTGCAGCTCAGTGCCTGTGCCACCTAGGCTCATAGCCCTCCCGGCCCCAGCCCGGTTCCTTGCCCTGCTGGCCCCAGCCTGCTTCCTTGCCACGCTGGAAGCCAGCTCCCTACCTACAGACCAGCTCTTGCTTACACCACTAGGACACTTACTGCCCTGCCAGCCCCAGTAGTCGTTAGTTGTTCATTTTGGTTATGTATTTATATTATACTTGTATCTGTTTGATTAATATAAATTTTTTTATCTGCATTTTTTGTGTGTATTCTGCACACCTGCCTTTAGCTATATTTATAAATATTTATTTGACCCCCACCCCTGTTCTTGCTCTTTTATTCCCCTCTAAATGACTTTAAATTTGATCTGGTTATATGTATATTCATAAAGTTAATTTATATCCTTTTTTTACTTGTGTTCTCTGTGTTAATTCTGTTAATAATTATTTATCTAAATTATATATATACAATTATATATATATATATATATAATTATATACCGCTACCGGTCAAAAGTTTGGGGTCAGTAGGGTTTTTTAATTTTTAAAATAAGCTTATCCTGCTCACCAAAGCTGCATTTATTTAATCAAAAATACAGTGCAAACTGTAAAATTGTGAAATGTCATTGCACTGTAAAAAAAAAAAAAATGTTCAAAAGTAGTTTATAATTTAATATAAAAATGTATTCCAGTGATTTTAAAGGGGAATTTTCATTACTCCAGTCTTCAGAGTCACATGATCTTTCCGAAATCACTCATAATTTCACAAATAATTTTAATTATTATTACTATTATTATTATTATTATTAATATTAATGATAATTGTAATAAAAGTAATAATGACTACAGTAACCATTTCATTTAAAACTACATGCAATAAGAAAGAAATTATTTAAAATTGTTAAAAATATTTAACAATTTACCATTTCTATGCCTTTAAATGAAGCAATTTAAATGTCAAGTACTTCACAAGTGATTTAGCTAGCAAGGGTAGATGTAAGCAAAAACAAACAAAACATAATCTCCTTATTTATTGCACTACCATAATTTTTTTCTGTAATTCTGAATACATGTGCTGAAAAGAAACAATAATATTTTACAATAAAAATATTACTACTACTACTACTACTACTACTACTAATAATAATAACAATAAAAACCTTTAATTTTGCCTAAAAAGTCGGTAACATTAGTGACAAAAAGGATACATGCATTCTTCAAATATATATATTTTTTATATATAAATCTTTTTAAAAATCATTAAACTGTTATTTGTGTGTTAATGCAGTCTAGGTTTAAATGTTTAAAAGGTAATTGCTTTTTAGACACCTTGCAATTCCAAAAGCAAACGTTTCTATAGAATGACAAAAATATTCCCAGATGTTTTAAAAGAGGCTCGGAAAACAGAACCTTGCAGTAAAGCAGAAAATGCTTAGAAATGAATTCTCAGTCACAAAGACCTTGTCAGGCATAATCCAATAGGAGTTTTTAAATTCATGTTTTTATCAATTGAAAAGCTACTGGATAACAGATTAAGTTAAAGGTGATTGTGAGACTGTGTCCATGCTTGTAGCAAAATATCTGACCGATGTGACATCATTATGACAAATCCCGAACTTCCCAGGTTTGAACGCACCATAATTAAACACCAGGCGTGTTTAATTGGTTTACGAGTTGGAGGAACTCGCCTGTCTTTGCATCATGAATGTAAGTTTTTGCTCTAGTCAATTCATTTTTAAACTTCTACTTTTATAGTAACTGATAAGTTATAGGCAATCTCCGCTATAGATGTACAAACCAATAAAAACAGTATATTATTTAAGGCTATTAGTCTAATTTAGGCTACACCCAATTAACCGTATTATGTTTGTTTTTAGTGTTGCAGAAATTAATGCACTGCTTTCCCTCTTTATATTATGTAGTTTGGGCGCAGACTGCGTGATGCCTTTGTTCAAAATAATGTGAACATGGCTGTTGTAATTCTTGCCGAAGAAAAATCATCGGTTACATTGGTTGATCGATTGGACGATGTTGTTATCAAGGCAAGTTATGCGTTTGTCTTTTTACGTAGGGCTAACGTAGTCTAGTGTATCGTAACGTAAAGTGTGTGTGTTTTTTTAGGAGCTGCATAAACATGAACATAAGAATGTCGCCTTGATATTACGAGCAATTGAAGGTCTGATCAATAAAGATGAAGACTGCATCCACAAACTTGTCCATAACGGTTTGGTTGCGAAGATAAGCATATTTAATTCTGATTAACATTACACATAATAATTAATTATAATATCTTTAAATAATTTCTTATTTGCACGATTTTTACATGTTGAACTGGTTTGAGACGGCGTCAGAGTACCTCAAAGCACAGCCAAAACCACCAAGGGACGTTTTAAAACTCATCGAAGTTTTTTACGAGATTTCCATGGTAATATTTTTATTTATTTATTTTTATCACTGAGGAATTGTTTTTAAAGGAAGTTATAGACTGATTTATATTTCACACACAGAGTCTATGTCAGACCACCATTTCAGGTAAGTATTTAGCACTTTTGTTGTACACTACAGATGTTCTCGATGAAATTATTATAATGATGGTGGTGATAAAATAGTCATAATTATGATTCGTAGGAAGCAACAAGATCCTGGATGTATTTCTTCTGCGGTTCGGCGCTGTTGTTTTGGATTATGAGGTACCTTTCTGTCTTCGTCTAGAGGTAAGTGTGTTGGTGAAAATGTAATGGGGTGAGATAAATAACTGCTAAACGTTCAGTTTAAGTGAAATTACATTTTGTGTCATTGTATTCAGGCCATCAGAACAATAAACTCCATGTTAGATAGCAGCCCCAAAGACGTAAGGAAGAAACTTTGCCACTCAAATGACCATATCGGGCTTTTGTAAGTCGTCCTTTCAGCATTGCTATTATATTAAAAGAGTAGTTGAAAATAACGTGAATGTGTAAGATATCAACTGCATTTTTTGTGGCAAAAGAGTGCACCCTAGTGGTCTGCACCATGAACAAAAACGCCAGTAGAGTTTCCATTAATATTTACAATAATTCATTATAATGAAAAATAGCCTATATATTTCTTACAGAGAAGACTTGGCAAAAGTGCTGACAGATATTGGTGGTAAGTCAGCTATTTTGTAAGTTATAAATTTTGCTAAATTAGTGTTTATTATTTATTGAACACAAATAATTAATTATTATTTCTGACTTTTAAAAGATTATGAAATGCAGGTGGCCATTTCTGAAGCACTCTGTAGAATGACACCAAGGAAACTGAGAGGAGACTTTGCTGGGAAATGGTTTAATTTTAGAAGCTTTGCTTCAGCTTTTACTTCAATTCGTGACAAAGATTTTGAAACTGTATGTTTAGATTTTATTTTTCATTTCTAAAGCTGTGTGTGTATGTTTGTTGCCTTTATTAACAGCTTTTCTCCTGTGTTTAAGGACTGTAGGACATTTCTGAATGAACTGAATAGTTATTTTGGGGGTTCATCAAGGTATATTTGAGTAATTATTAGTGTTGTTGTGTGTGTGTTTGTTGTTTTTTTTATCAGTGGTGGATTTGGGCATGGGCAATAAGGGAGATCGCCCAGGGCGGCATCTTGCTGGGGGTGGCTTGGGGAGACGGTGCAATAAAAAAACATTCCTTAGTAAAAGCATTGAAATACGATTTACTTTATTGCCACTGTAAATTAATACACTTGCATAAAGGCGACAAGAGTAAGGTGTTAGGGGCTATTCACATTTTACGTTTTGCATGTGCAAGTTTGTTTTTCTCTGTGTGGAACAAGTCTATGTAATATGATGATGATGTTACTTTCACTAAGCATGACTATGAAGCAGAAAGGAGGGATGAAGAGTCAGGGAGCCAAGACTTCATAACATTTATTCTCTGCTATGTGTCGGGTCTAAGACTAGGGTGCCATTTACACTCTAACCGCCACTGTTTTTTTATTCTGGCTTTATCCAGTAATCCATACCTCTATATAGCTTTTGACTTATTTGTATTATCATGTGCTTTCCCTAGAGTCTTTTCATTTCCTTGTATTCAAGCTTTTCTTGGTTCAACTGAGGTAAGCCTAAATCAGTTTTTTCTTTTTTTCCATTTTTGTTTTGCCCTTTTTTCATATGTTACTTCTAGTGTGTGTTTTCTTGCATTACATGGTGCTTGAATGCTCTTTTCAAGCTCTTAAAGCCTGAAGACGAGTTTCTACAGGAGTTTTGGGTGGACTTCAACCTTGGAACATCAACCATTACTTTCTTTGTAAAAGACCCTCAGGTGCATCCAAAATGTTTATAATGCAAGTGAATATTGTAATATCAACCATTATATGCAGTGTATCTAAAGTGAGCTTAATGTTGTGGTAGAACACGCTGTGGGAACTGATTCACCTACCTAAAGACATTGTCAGAACATATGATGTTCAAGGTGGGATATGTGGGACTTTTCTCTAACCATACCTTTTTCTTACTCTAAATTTTTCATAAAATGTTTGTTCCTTATTAGCATTAAATCTGAAATTGTACCTGAAGTGGACCAATGAAAATTAGAAAAGCTTTAAATGCCACAAATATACATTTCTTATATTTCAGTTCTCAAAATGACTATGCTTGCAGAATGCGATGACAGGAAGATATTGGCTGTTCACCTGACTACACCAATCTGTCAGGGAGGGATCACAGGCAAAATGGTCAAAATAATTTTTAGCTCTGTGCACAGCATCGAAACAGCCCTACTGAGAGTGTTTGAGGAGAAACCACAGTCTGCCACAGTTTCAAAGGTGACTTGCATAATTAAAAATATTATTATTTTACCAGACAAAATATATAATGGTCAAATATAAATAAGCATACATGTATGTTTTGTGCATCTTCTTAGGACACTCTGCAATCCGGAGATAGCTTGACCATGACAAAAGGCACACACCTTATTACAGATATGCAGTGTTAAAAGGTCCCTTTTGTTCTAAGGTGATATATCTGAAATGTAATTCTGATTTTATAATGTACAGGACCCCAACATGAGCAACCAGTGATCCCTTGTATATTTACAAGGTATGTTTTCCAGACTGCTATGCATCACAGTATTTCTACATACAGTATATTTTGTTTCTCTAACATCATACATTATTTCCTAGTTCCCCTGCTGGAAAATTCAAAAGCATCCATCGGGTAACTAGATAATTTCTACAGCAAACCAAGAAAATCACATACAATAGGTTGTATGGGTGCCCAGTTTGACCAGCTAAGTCATTTTTCAGCTTTCTCTTCTTTTGAGTGGACCGAGATCAAAGTAAGCTTATTTATTGCTGGATCCACAGGCTCTATAATCAAGAGACGGGTATTTTTTTTATGCTTTTTTTTTTTTTTTTTTTGGTGAGTGAAGAGTGAAAGGAAACAGATGCCAAGACATCTTTCGTTTTAAGGATCATTCAGATTCTGAGGTGTGTGTTTGTGTTTTGTTTTTATGTGCTGATAGAGTTCATAGTGTTTAATGCTTTCGTTCCAAAATATATTAATTTGGTATTATTTGCAAAATAACATTGTCCAAATCTGCTTCTCACGTCAACTTTTTAAAGCTGATTTTGGATGCTATCTGACCGTAATATCGAGAGTAGTTTTCTGACGTAGAGTTTAAGTCAGAATTATTAGCCCCCCTTTGAATTTATATATTTTTTCTTTTTAAAATATTTCCCAAATTATGCTTAACGGAGCAAGGAAATGTTCACAGTATGTCTGATAATATTTTTTTCCTCTGGAGAAAGTCCTATTTGTTTAATTTCAGCTAGAATAAAAGCAGTTTTTTAATTTTTAAAAAACATTTTAAGGTCATAATTATTAGCCCTTTTAAGCTATACATTTTTTCAATAGTCTTCAGAGCAAATCATTCTTATACAATAACTTGCCTAATTACCCACACCTGCCTAATTAACCTAGTTAAGCCTCTTAATGTCACTAAGCTGTATAGAAGTGTCTTGAAAAATATCTAGTAAAATATTATGTGCTGTCATCATGGCAAAGATAATAAAAAAAAATAAGTTGTTATAAATTAGTCAAGACAATCTTCTCTTAGTTAAACAGCAATTGAGGGAAAAACAAACAGGAAATATTTCAGGGGGACAAATAATTTTGACCTCAACTGTATGCGAGCAGGCATGTTTATGGCTGCCCCAGGTATCCTTAATGTAAATGTGTATATCAGTGTCTTATTGACACTTGATACCAGCTGATCTGACAGGAAACCAAAGAATTTAACTTTCATTCGAGTTCACTAGCTGATGATTGATTATAAAGCGTGTTTGGGATGCTGTCCTGGGAGAGAGCCCTGAGCTCATAAGATCCTGGAGCCCGGGGCTCCCTCCCATTTTAAGGGCGAGAGGGGAGCTTGAGCTCAGATAGGTATGAACATGTAAAGCTCGACTGACCTGTTAGAGACTTGGACCAGTGACTTTCTTGCTGTAAGGCAACAGTGCTAACCACTGTGCTGCCATGCTCCCCTATCAAGGAGTAGGGGTGGGAGGGGGGGATCCTTCAAGCCGAAGATGACAGGTAAGGAACTCTAGTTAATTATAATGAGTTAGGAATCATCCGATTGGTGAATCATGTGTAAGCTAATGCGGGACCAGCAGCGGTCAATCATAAGCGCGTGATCCTCAATATTTTTATAAGTAAACTTCGTGTTAGATTTAAACATCACTTTGTGAGTTAGCAGGTCAGTGCAGACACGAATATCAGATCCACTGTCCTCTTAGACTGTTTTTGGACAAATTTCTTTTAGTTTCTGGGTCAATGTTTTTATAAACTTAAGTCAGTGTCTTAATGTCCACAAAATGCCACTCAAATGAGAAACTAATGTTGCTTTAGAAGTTTCAAGGCACATATTATACTCTTGATAGATCGTTTGATTTTAGACTTGTATTTTTTTAGCTACATTCACATGTATTTTTACTTCTAGAATCTCAATTTGAAATGTTGTGGTCTTGTGAAATTGTGATCTTTCTGTTTAGGTTGCACGTGCCAAAACAATGTTATTCTGTCAGACGTCATCATCATCATCATCAACTAATGGGTAAAAAAAAAAGTAATACTAATACTGAAGCATATGAAATAATTATGTTCTGTATGTAAAAATGTAGTACTGTGCGATTTTACAATAGCCTAAAATGTTCCTTTTTCTTCTTCAGGTCTACAAAATCCCTTCCTGACACTTTGAGTAGAACTCCTGTGAAGGTTAGCCAGAAAGAAAATATTATTATTATTATTATTATTATTATTATTATTATTGGTGTGTCCAAGAATGCTCTAGTTTACTTTATTTCTCACTAATAAATAGGCTATGTATTCTGATTATTGGTGATGAACTGCTTTTGTTCCTCTTTTATAAGTACGGCACTAAAAAGTTGTAAAATTTGCATGATCGCAGAAGAAAATGAGAATGACGCATTCAGATAAAGGATCTCATCGTGAAGGGACACCACAAGCTGACTACCATAGAAGAAAACCCAGAGCTAAGAGCAAACTCAGAGGTATCATTAATGCAATACATGCAAATTAATGTGACAGTTACTCATATTTTGCAGTTTATAAATCTCAATTACATTTCAAATCGGTGGTAATCGAATGAGTTGCATCCAGAGAGTTAGGCTGCTTTAGAATTTAAATCTTATTTATTTCATTTAGGCAGTAATATACTTTAAGGGTCTTTGTTTAATTTACTGTTCTTCAGCAGTTAATGCTGATTTTAATAATGATTTTTTTAATGAATCATTTAATTTGATTATCTAATGTTTACATTCTTCAAATTACTGGTACCTGCCTCATTATTTAACAACAAAAAAAAGTCACAATCTTGCGCTTGAAATTGCTGTTGTTGGCCATCGCTGCTGTTTTGGAAGTGTGCTCTCATGCTATTTTTCCATTTGGTAAATCTGACCCAAAGTACTAAACTTGAGTAATATATATATATATATATATATATATATATATATATATATATATATATATATATATATATATATATATATAATGACTACATTGTTGTGTAAATCTTTCACATTTTAATTAAAGATTAATTCTTGCCCAGTTCTTCCTTTTATCTTAACTATTCTTGACCTATTTTTTTCCCTATTTCTTCTGCTATACATTTAAATCTTTAAAACTTTACATTTGAACCAGAATTAGAGTTTCTATGCTTGTTTAATGATTTGAGTATTGCCATCTTAAAAATAATTTCATATAAAAATATTCAGAATGAACAAGCTCTAACATTAAAACAGTAGATTACAAAAATCAGTTATAATGAACAAACAGTTTTACATCTCAATTAGAAAATGTGTAAAATTAGGGATTGAAGTGTACATTTGGTGTATATATATATATATATATATATATATGACTACATTGTTGTGTAAATCTTTCAAATGTTTCACAACCTAATTAAAAATGAATTCTTGCCCAGTTCTTCCTTTATCTTCACCGAGCAGTAATGAAGAGGATTTCTCCAAGGTATAAAGTTACTTTCTTTATTTTGAATTTGAATTTAAAATAATTTTTCTTTCTTTCACTATATATATATTTTTTTTTTGGGTGGTGGGGAAGCTATCAATACCCAAAGGAGTTCAAGAAATGAAAAACATGGCAAGTGAAGATGATGACTGGTTTGAACACAAACTAGAGAAATCATTTATCATGCAATCATCTTCACTCAAAGACACTACTGCTGATTCCGGTCAGTATAACAAAACTCAAAGAGGATAGTTGTAAAAGATAGCTCATGACCTATGTTTTTATTTTCTAGGTTTTCAAAACAAGACTGTTTCTGAAAGCAGTTTACAAGCAGATGAACTTGATCTTATGGAAGAGGTACAGCTTGATTTTTAGTATGTTGTGCTTATGTATGTTCACATTTGCTAGAACCAGGTTTGACCCCGTTCAGCTTTGAGTGCTACATTTTATTGTTCATGGAATAGATTCAACTAAACACATTACACAGAATTTGGTCTGTTTTAACATGTGTGCTGGCTTCAAATTCATGATGCAACTCCATTCCACCACATATTGAAAAGCGTTGTACTGAATTTGTAGGGCTAGAGATTATATGAGCTTTGGCTATCACAAGTAAGAATGGAAACTTTTGGGTACGATACAATCTGATTTGGATTCCAAAAGTAGTATTGACCTGTTTTTTTCCCCCCTATTTCTTCTGCTATACATTTAAATCTTTATAAATCTTTTACATTTGAACCAGAATTAGAGTTTCTATGCTTGTTTAATGATTTGAGTATTGCCATCTTTAAAATAATTTCATATAAAAACATTCAGAATGAACAAGCTCTAACATTAAAACAGTAGATTACAAAAATCAGTTATAAAGAACAAACAGTCGTACATCTTAATTAGAAAATGTGTAAATTTAGGGATTAGTGTACATTCGGGAAAAAACAAATTGTGAACAAAATAGTTTAAAATAAATTTTTATATTTGTACAATTTCAGAGTTCTAACAAATAATATATTTTAAAACTAAAAGATTGTGCAAAGGTTAGGGGGTGTTTAAATAATGATAATAAAAATCAAACCAAAAGCCCTCAACAAATTCACCAAAAAAAAAACAAAAAAAAAAAAAACAAAAGAACAAAACAATGAATATTTAAAAGTTTCATCTTTTCATCAAAATGTATAAGTACTCCGAATATAAACATTTTTGAAAATTACTAAATTAACTGGATATATTTCATGCAATATTTTAAAGTGGACTCATTTAGTCCAACTTGGAAGAATGCATCTATGAGGCAAAAACTAGTTTCTCCAGTCTGTATTATTAAATAAAGAAAAAAAGTTGGTTTATTTCACTAATTCGATTCAAGAAGTGACACTTGTATAATGTATACATTCATTCCACACAGATTTTGTTGACAACTAATGAAAACCCTAAAATCGGTAATCTTAGAAAATTAAAATATTATGAAAAGGTTGAGTATTGAACACACTGGTACACACTAATTAACACTAGTTATCAGAGTCATGCCGCAGTCACACTAAGTAATTCTGTCGTACAGAGCTATAAAAAGAGTAAACAATATGATTAGACATTTTAAAAAGCGAGCCATATTGTAAATTTCTGTTCAGAGGTCGAGTTTTGATCCTTGTTTGCTCTCATGCAGTCAAGTTATGCGATTTTGTAGGACAGAATTCACCAATCTTGAACTTTGCAATGCAGCGATCTGTGAAACTTAACGCACAACCTTGCATTTTTGGTCTGACGCATTGGCATTCGTATGAATGGAAGTCTATGGGGAGAAAAGTCCAGTGTGACCGCAGCTTCACACTCTAATCTAGTCATGTAGTTTGAACGGCACTGCGATCTGCCAATGTCTTGCCATGTTGTGTGAGCTAGGCTTTGTCAGATGAAGGTGGCATTCAAAATTTGGGAAACTCTAAGACAGGCTTGAAAACCTTTTGCTCAAATCACCTACTGTAGCAGATCGAATGAATATTTATTCATTGGGATGAATAAAGTGTCCTCATACAAACTATAATAATGAATTGTATTCTGATCATTTTCTGAGAGCCCTGACTTGTACTGTGTACCATCTCTACCATTTATTTATTTAAGATATGCTTAGTATGATAGCATAGCTATAAGCACATCATTCCAAGGACATGCGCAGCTCTGACTTAAATGTGAAGTGGGCTGGTTGCATAAACCACTTGGACTAGTCTTAACGTTGGACACTATTTCTTTCACCCTTAAAGACTGGCTGGAGCATTTTAGTGATTTGACTACTCTAATTTCAATCCAAAAAGCAGAACTTATAAAGCTGCGGTCACACTGGACTTTTCTCCCCATAAACTTCCATTCATATGCATGCAAAGTTAGAACGGAAACGCAAGGTCATGCGTCAAGTTTCGCAGTTCGCTGCTTTGCAAAGTTCAGGCTTTGTGAACTCTGACCTGCGAAATCGCATCACTTGACTGCGAGAAACTAATCAAGGATCAAAACATGACCTCTCTGGACAGAAATTTAACATATGGACCAATCGCTGTTGTCTAATCATTTTTAATCCCACACTATTTCGCAGCGCCGTACAACAGAATTTTGCATACTCAAACTCTAGTGTGATCGCAGCTTTACCCTTGGCTAACTGCTAGTTGGTCTTAACATGCCGACTGTGTTTATGCAGCTGGACCCTGTTATCATCTGGAAATTGTTAATTACAAGGTGACATGAATTTAACTATTGCGTTAATGCATTTTGATTGGCCGATTGTGTGCTTGCATGTACTGTAGCAGTTGATCATGTGTACCTAACAGTTCTACAGAGTGAGTGAGTGAGTGAGTAATTATTCATATTGTTTTAGGAGCATATTTTAGATAAAGCATTACCTTCTCAAAGAAATGAAGCAATTGAATCCTCAGGTGAGTCCGAAGTTGATGCATCTGTAATATTTCAGTACCATACATCATTAACAATTTCTGTAAAAGTAACTGTTGGAACCATATGCCTGCAGAACTGCATGTGCACTTAAATGAAGAGGCAGAGGTGCCTAAACAACCGGCATGCCCACCTAGAAGACCTTTCCTGTCTGGCCCACTAGAGGATGCTGCAGGTACATTTTACCATGAGCTTTGCAACACATTGGACGTTTGAGCCTAGTCAAACTACTTTAAATTTATTTGGGGATTAGTTCACACCAACATTTTAAATTCTGTTAATTACCCTGTTGTTATTCAAATTCACAGAGACCTTTGTTCATCTTATAAGCACAAGTGAAATATTTTAGACTACTCTAAATCTGAGAGCTTCCTACTGAGCCCCGAGTATGAGACGATAACCGTTTTTAAGATATACCATGGTTTGGTAAAGTCAAGGTTTTAAAACTGCCAACATTTTCTGCTATACTGTTACTACGGTTTATGGATATTTTTTTTTTGTTTTGTTTTTTTACGTTTTAAGTTTTTTAGGACAACAGTATCTCCAGCAGAAATGATACTCAAAGATGCCATTTTAAATGGTAAAGAAATCATTGTTTATTAAACGAATGAAGACGGCAGAAGCCTGACATGACAAAGTTTTAGTTTTTTACCCAGTCATTTGAAAAATATATACGTTTTAGAGCAATAATGACAATACTGTAAAAGTGTATTTTTATCCAAGGTTATGAAACCATCAGAATCGTATACCGGCCCATACCTAGCCCTGAGACATACAAAGTCCAGAAAAGGAACCAAAAACACCGTCAAACATACCATGTGACTAGTGATTCAACTGTATTCATAAAATGCTCTTAAAACTTAAATGGAAAAAAAAAACTTCACCTATGTCACATTTACTTTTTTGAGAACTAAGTTGGTTTGCTTTTGCTGGAGGATGAGAGGGCTCTCTAAAGTTGTGTAAAATATTGTAATATGTGGTCTGAAAATAAATTAAGGTATCAAGAGATTGGAACAGCTCCTTTTTTTTTTAAACTCTTTTTTTTTTCTGAGAAATGTATGGTGCTGATTAGCAGAATCTGAGTAAATTGCACAAGATATCGTTGTTCAAATGTACCAGACAAAACAACTTGAATTGCATTTGAGGTATACATTTTTATCAGTTTATGTATTTCCTGGTACTCAAACTCTTGAAAATGGCAGCTTCAAGGCCTTGCTCTTTAGCTTGAAAGGATTCAGAACAGCTTTTGTGTTCTGCTGCTTTCTGCCAAACGGGGGGGATGACCTGAATACCACATTTAAAGAGCTTCTCTCACTTGCTCTCGCTTTCTTTTCTCTTTCTCTCTCTCTCTCTCTCTCTCTCTCACTTTCTATCACTTTCTCTCCTCTCTCTCAAATCTAAACACATTTATTAGAGTTTGGGTGTAAGTTTAGGTTAGTTTATTAACTTTGTGGTTTTTTTTTTCCCTGTGTGTATAGAACGAGTAACTGAAGCTCTAATGGAAGGTGGTGAGGAGTCAGAGGAAGAGTTGGGTGCTGGTGTTAGAAAAGCATTTAACTCGTTTAAGATTCAGTTGAGAGCACACTTTTCTGTGAGTACAAATCTTACTCCAGGCCTTTCAACTTCCGATAACTTATCTGGCCCTAAGATTATCCAACTCTTACATGCAAATTGTGATTTTAATTCATATTTAAAATTTTCATTTGAATCATAAAAGGATATATTTAGTGGGCATGTACAGATAGCTGTTTTCCTTAAGTGGATGGAGCAGAATGTCAGAAGTTTTAAAATGACAAAAAACAAACATAGGATTAGCCTTGTGTTTCAAGTTCTCAGAAGACAACAGCTTCCATTCTCTGAGCTGACAATTCTCTAAATCTCATTTGCTCTTCTGCATATGTTTAGTTAACTCACCCCTGTCTTGGTTAGTGAGCGTGGGATTTTCTTTGTGATCCAGAGCAGGTACAAGAAAATCGAAGCCAGAACACTGCAGTCTTTCACAGACTGTCAGAGAAATGTGACCTCCCTCCTGGGAACAGTACACAATCAAAGGTACAAACATAAGAAGCGGCATTCACAATTAACAGTATTAACATTTCCCCCTTGACATGAAAATGCATAAATGTTATGTAATTTAATGTGACTACTGTACATGTGATGTTTAAAAATATAATTACCAATCAATGCATGTAGGTTATTGCATCTGGAGCAGTTCCAAAACACTGTGGTGCACCAATTGGAATGTTTGGAACAGGATTGTCTGTCGCTCAAATCCATTGAAAAGGAGACTGTGGTCTGTCTCAGCTTTTCAATACACCTTTTCTGTATTATAAAGGCTGTCTTTTAAATTTGAACTGAAATGTTTCTATAATCACTTGAACAATTATATTTAATGGAACTCTATGATGATCTCAGCTAAACACTCTTAATGTTTCAGAATTTCTGGCGGTCAGAGTCGGACACAGTCCGGACATTCTGTGATAGACAGCAGAACAGGTAGAAAAGTCTAAGATTGTTATCGACTATTTTAATGTGGTGATGTCGTTGATTGTTGTCGATCTATTTCATAACTGTAACGAGTCCATTAAATAATATCTTGACATTTATTCTTCTATCTTTTTATTATTATTCTTGGAAGCAAATCAAATTAAAAATGTAATACTAGATGTTAAGCATTGTATATTGTCAAAATGGTCTATAATGGGTTTGCGTGAGCATCTAGAAGGGTAATCTTATTAATCCCTGAAAATGTTGATGTTTTTGTTGTTGTTAATACTTGGAAGCACATTCCAAATTTTGTCAGCTTTTATAGAGGGCAGTTAGATATTTGACCTACCTGCACTTATTTTAGAATTGTAAATAAATGTCGCATTTATGACACAGTGGTTCCCATCTACAGTCCTCTGCTCAATTGTTTCAGAACATTAGCTCTTAAGCAGAAAGCTTCATGATTTGTGCAGTGTCAAATAAGAAAGACCGAAAAAGTACAGAGCAATGAATGCCTGGGACTGGATTTGGGAGCCACTAATCTTATGTATTTGTATTATTTCTCTAATTAAAAGAACTTCTGATTTATTTATTTTTTCATGTCAGATTGCATTCTCTCTTACTACCTGATGCAAGTGCACAACCATCATCATTTAGTGTATCAGCACAAAGAGAGGCAAAAAGCACTGTGGTAAGTGGTCTATTCAGTAAAGCTCTTCTTTGCCTATGTATGAAAGCTAGACATTTTCCTTTCTTCAAATTAAGATTATTTAAACCTTGTGCTTCAATAAAAAAAAAAATGTTACACTGTGGTCAACAGAGGACAAAAATGTCTGTGTCCAAACACATTACAAAAGTAACATTTTCACAATTTTTGTTATTAGACTTCTTTACCATTATCAGATCTTATTTACTTAATTGCTTATCAGACCATAACTACCAAAACATTAAACTTTTAAATCATTCTAATATAAGCCTACTTTTGACTACTGGTGTCACCTTACTAAATTTTGGTACTGGGATTTTCCACTAACATTTTAAGCACTGTCGATTTAACAAAAAAAAAGCACCTAAATAGCTTAGCATTGTGATTTTATTTTTCCAGTTTCACCATTTTTCCATTCATACATTGTAATAGTCATTGAGGATTTTTTAAAAACAGTGTAACAATCTTGTCTTGTTCTCATGAACCCAATCTTGTGTTTTGTCTCGTGGAGTATTTTTTTAATTATTATTAAACGTATATACCAAATGGAATCTAACCTAAAACCCAAAAATCAAACCATACTGAGAAGTTTTTATTGTTGCACCACTAATAAAAATAAAATAAACACACTGCTCAAAAAATAAAGGGAACACTAAAATAACACATTCTTATCAAATACTTTGTTCTTTATATTTTTGAATGTGCTTACAACAAAATTACACAAAATGATCAATGGAAATTCTGTTAAAAAGGCTATAAATTTGTGCCAAATGGCATTAAATGTTGAACTTAAGGAGTTTCTACTGGAACATTTTTGTCCTGAAGGTCCTCTGTGTGACTTTTTTTTTGTACCCTGTGTAAAATTAGATTTATGACAGTAAAGGAGGATATTACATTTTATGTGAAAACACATTTCTGCCCAAATATATGCAATGACAGCCAAAATGCTCAACAAATGAAAGGGGGAAAAAAGGCAAAAATGTGCATAAAGATGCACAAAGGGTAAATGATTGTGTAAGTATTTATCATGTGTGCAGTTAATAAATACTAATTAGAAGGTGTGCAAGTCAAAATTGAAATGTCCTCTTTTCCAGCCTCCCTCCCCTCAAGAACAATCACCCATGATGGTTCCCATGTCAGAGACGACCACCACAGATCTCTAATAGGTCTATGCACTAAGAAGCCATTTCTTTTCGTGTGGCACTTCTTTTCTTTTGCCCATCATATGTGTGCTCTTTCTAATTAAAACAATTGAATATTGTCTTTTTTTTGAAGAGTTTTGTTATTGTGATCAATACTGTGCCTGTATTTGACAATTGACATTTAGCACATATATACTGTATGGACCAAAACTACTGATGACTTCTCAACCTGCTTGTCTGTGTCTAGAGGGTTTCAAAAAATAATTCCTGAAGCTGATCGAACTTTTCAAGTTAAGCAATAGAGATAAAAAAGTGCTTGAAACCCTCTGACAATAGGTTGTCTAAATGGTCCTTTCAGGAATATCAAGAATTGGATCTTTCCTATTTCTAAAACATTTTTCTAAAACATTTCCTCTTCATTATGTCACCAATTATTACTAGTCCACTAAAAGGGCTGGTTGTCTGCAAAAGACAAATGCATGAAAGGACAAGATAATACAGAGAATTTCACTTTAACCCTACAGCTGTAATTGCTGAGGAGCATGTTGCGTGGATCGAGAACTAGACCAAAATTTAATTTTGTAATAAAACAATAATCATTGATTTGGTCTGATGGAAAACGTATTAAAAGTATTAGGATTATTTTCTGCAGCTGCAAATTGGAGGAAAATATTTGTCTGAAGCTCGTTTGTCTGCTTTCATTGCCTAATAAGCCAGCATGTTTTTTTTTTTTTTTTTTTTTTTTTGTATTTGTTGTTTTGTATAGGGCAGTGCCCTCTGTCCCAAAGCAAAATGTGTGTAAAGCATTTCTTTACAGATGAAAACATTAAAATAAGGAACTAATTGAAAATTGCTTTAAAATACTTGATGACAGTGATTAAAGAAACCCTCTACAGCCACTAAAGACTGGAAGAAGTGCTGTGTAAGAGACGATGACCTTTGGCCATAAGTCATTCAAAGCAAGTGAGTGCACACTTTTTAGTAATTTTCTGGTCTGAAATGTACTGTGCCCCTGAAGGAACGTCTTTTTGGGAAAAGAAGAGATGGATAAAAAAAAATGTATGTGTGTGTGTGTGTATATGTATATGTATGTGTATATATATATATATATATATATATGTATGTATGTATGTATGTATGTATGTATGTATGTATGTATGTATGTATGTATGTATGTATGTATGTATGTATGTATGTATGTATGTATGTATGTATGTATGTATGTATGTATGTGTGTATGTGTGTATGTGTGTGTGTATGTGTGTATGTGTGTGTGTGTGTGTGTGTGTGTGTGTGTGTGTGTGTGTGTGTGTGTGTGTGTATATATACACACACACACACACACATACTTTTTTTTATTATTTATTTTTGCATTCTATCGTAACGTTATGCATTCGCAAAGATGTTTGCAATCCCTCAAACTCTTGCCTTCCATTTTAAAGATGTTTGTGTTCCCTTGCAATACATTCGCATACCTTCACAAAGAGGTTTGTGTTCCCTGCATTGCTTACAGCAGGGGTGTCCAAACTCGATCCTAGAGAGTTTAGCTCCAACCCTAATCAAACACCTGAACCAGCTAATCAAGCTCTTACTAGATATACTAGAAACTTCCTGGCAGGTGTGTTAAGGCAAGTTAGAGCTAAACCTCTGATCTACACCTTTTGCAAAGGTGTTGAATAATATAACTGATGTTTCTATCAGGCTGCAGATCTGTCTAAATATCTAATGCTTTAATGTTTTTATTCTTCACTCTTTACCGCTTTTTCCTGTACTAACTAAATCTCTCTCTCTCTCTCTCTCAGCATAATTTAAGTGTTTAGTGCAGTTAATAAGCCCTTCTTTATATCAAACCTAAAGTTGTCAACTATTTGCTCATAACTGGTGTCCCTAATCATGCCGATTTTGCTGCATGTTCTATGTAGTTTTGTATTTTAACCAGGTTACTTCATATTACATAGAAATGAATGAGTGTCATGTTGGCGCAGTGGGTAGCGCAATCACCTTACAGCAAGAAGGTTGCTGGTTCAAGCCCCAGATGTGTCATTTAACATTTCTGTGTGGAGTTTGCCTGTTCTCCCCGTGTTCGTGTGGGTTTCCTCTGCATGCTCCGGTTTCCCCCACAGTCCAAAGACATGGTATAGGTGAACTGGGTAAGCTAAATTGTCCGTAGTGTATGCGTATGAGTTTCCCATTGATAGGTTGCAGCTGGAAGGGCTGCCGCTGCGTAAAACATGTGCTGGGTAAGTTGGCCGCTCATTCCGCTGTGGCGACCTCAGATTAATAAAGAGACTAAGCTGAAAAGAAAATGAATGTGTATGGACGTTTCTCAGTGATCTTTCCTAGTTGAGTGCATTCTTAAACCACTGATTTGCCAGAGTATTCACCAGTGCTCAACAGAAATGTCTGATTGGCCGTGAAGGTCATCAGTTCACTGGACTTCACCAATGTTTACTGAGTGCAAACACAGACAAGCAATTGGCTGCTCTTCACGGCTTGAAATGCTCCAGTGTCCCTGTATTTGAGTTTGTAAAAAGTGGTGTACTGATGACCTTCACGGCCAATCGCAGTCATTTCTGTTGAGCACTGGTAAATCAGCTGTGTTTAAGAACATGCTCAGCGGCGCTTAAATGTAGAGAGGACTGCATTGTTTTATCGCTTGCTGGGTTAAACAGGCTGAAGCAAGGAAGCATCCCCATGTTGTTTACCTGGTGCCATGAACTGAAGCCTAGAAGGACACTTAAGTGTGTTACTCATATGATTTCGTTTGATGCCTATGCTTTTAAATGTATAAATTAAACTTAACTGAATGATATTAAAGTGATTTTTTTTCACCATGTACTTTGAAATCACAGCAACAGCTGGAGGTTTGTAGTCCACAGTATGTTGTTGCAATGTTTACAGTACTTCCGGCTTTCCTCCCACCGCAGCCTTGCTTCTGTCTTTTAAAATGGGGACCACGTAAAATATAGAACTACATTTTCAGAATAACCCTATGTTGGTTAAATATATTACAGCTATTTTTCATAATTTAGTCAGAGATTAGCTGTTAATCATCAACAGATTTTCACTGTAGATCGTAGACTTTTAATGTTAAAATCACAGACATTATCTTATAGTTAAGCCTTTAAATTGCACTTTAAGCTGTATATTACTACTTTTTAAAATGTTTAGTCCTCTATCAGTATCACTTTTCTAATCTTTTCTATTCTACTTTTTAAGAGGTCAATTTATAATCACCACCACTTTGTAATATATCTATTCTACCTTTTATAGAAAAAAAACATATTTTTAAATACTAATTTATTTCCTATTATTTTAATATGATTTATATCTGTCTGTCTATATATATTGAGACACTTTACAACTGTCCATACACATGAAAAACATGTCCAGCCTTGACCAATTGTTGCAGTTATTACAACCAAAAACAAAAACTGTATCTGTTATTTTAACTATATTATAGTATTACATGGGGTCTTTAACAGAGACCAAGTGTATTATTATCAATACATTTAATTATGCATACAGGATTGTAGCACTGCTTAAGGCATACTTTGTTGCATAATAAATTAGTTTTTCTCCATTCCTAAAACAACATTTCTGAACCCTTGCTCCATTTTCTTAAACAATGTGATGAAAATGATATATACTATCAAGTAGTCACTAAACAATGCAACACGAAACAGAAAATACATTTTTCTTAGGGAGAAATACATTATTAATGTTCAGGGCCATACAATTTGTTTATTGTACAGCATACAATGCACTGTACTACAGTATACAATACTAAAAGGGACAAAAGTGGAAAAGTTGATCAATTTCCTTCGTGTTTGGGCTTTGAGTCAGGCCAGAACATTTCATCAACATCACACGTAACGCAATATTGTCTCTCCTGAAGCAACGGGGGAAGAAGCCTCTTGTGTGCCATATACAGCCCTGACATGATTCCTCAACTATATCACCACATACTTAATCCATGACTTGCAGAAGATCTATAGTGTAGGGTTGCTTTCCATAAAACTACTCAATCGGATTCCAGAAAGATGAGTATGGAGTGAGGTACAGCACGTTCATAAACACTGCACTCATCCTCTCACATTGTTTTTTGTAAGTATGCTTAAACACTCTTCTTCAAAACTTCAATTACTAGTTTGCTTATATCGGTTGTCGCATCATTTGAAAAAGTATTACATCAATTTTGAGTTGTTGTGTTTAATCAACAGCATCTTTTCTCTATTTGTATTTGATTGTTGCTACTTGTGTTTACCAGCATGGATGGTGTGTGCAGGAGAGTGCACGATGTGTTTTGAGAATGTGTGAAAAGTAAATAAGATCTGCACATTGTGTTTTACCATGCGAAATGGTTTAGGGTGTTGGCAGTAGACTACACAATTAGCTAAATGAAGTCAGGCAACTGAGAACTTAGTTCAGCCAATGGGTTTTAGTGTTTTAGCAATTGAGAAAAACATTTACTCACTCATTTACTTTAGTCAATTTTAAGGGTGCTTTCACGCTTGGTTCAATTGACCCTTCCGTAAGCCACACCCAAAAACCGCCACCCACCAATCGTGGCTTAGCAACCGTAACTATGCGCAGGGGCTCTGTCAAGCTTTTGCGCGAGGGAAACAAGCCAAAGCGCTGTGCATATGGATTGTGCAAATCTGACACCCGGTATCCTAAAAGTTTGGACAGGGTGGTGGCATTTTTTCCCTTTTTCAAAATTAAAAACCCAAGAGGAGACATGGCAGAATGGATCAAGCTCTGTGAGGGGCGCTAAAAGAGCGGCTTTAAGTTGGTTTTGCTTTGATATTCCAGACACAATTAGTGATAGAACGACAGCAATAACTCACACACCTTACCCTAAAAAGATCTAAACTGTGTTTCATACAAAAATACAAAGCAGGTTATGTTTTCACTCTATTATGAGCTCTGCTCCGTTTAAGCCTTCGCCATAGTAGTCATACTAATAGCAAATAGGTCATGAGTTATTGATCCGGAAAATACGAATCTACGAATATGTTGCCAACTTAACTGCACTTCATATTTCCATCCGTTTTCAAGCTACGAATATTTGAAATTACAAATCAACAGAACAAAACGGAGATGTGATCACAAACTGAGCACTTGCGATCAATATACTTTACCCACAGCTGTTTTTCAGTGATTTATAAAGAGGACATGAACATACTGACGGTAATAGATAGCTTACTGTATATTGTTATGGGTCAATGATGCTAATATTCGGCACTAGTCCATCAGTTTCCCCTTTCTGGCTGCTCGTTCTGTGAATGAATTATGTAGAAGCACTGTCCATAATTCCTAATCGGTTAACGCTATATTTCATTGCACAACATTAGTCTATCAGGCTTTTTGGCTAAAAATAGAGAATTCATGATTTCTTTTATTATTTTTTTTTTTTCTCCTGCTGTGCATGAACTAAGCTGTTGAATAGTCGGCTAGGCTAACCTAGCTTAAATTTTGATTGAATTATTTTCTAATCGGTTGCCTATTATGTCATGAATATACCCCTGTAATGCATACTGCAGTTCTTTTTTGTCTGTCTTTCTTTGATATCTCACCTGTTCGCCCCAAATGACTAATTATGTCCCTGGGAATGTCTGACACCGGCGCATACACATTGTAGAAGACGTGCCAGACATGAAAGCTTGACAGGTGTAGCAACAGTAACTAATGAGGGCGGGGCTTAGTGTAGGGTCAATTGCCTGGACCGAACCCAAGTTTAATTGTCCCCCTGCTACCTTTTTGGTTGGTTTGTGTTGACACTGTCTTTTTTCTTTCTGAAACCTGGTACACTTGAGTCATCGAGCTGCTGTTTTGTTTACAGCTGCTGCTAGGTGACGGTCATGGAAGCAAAGCGCAAAAATGGAAAGACGTCCACACATCGCGGCCGTTCTGCTTTTACTGAATCTTTTGGTTTTGGACATACAGAAAGCGACTCGCATCCATCTACCTCAAAAATATTATGAACATTCAGAACATCACACAGTGTCTGCAGAAGCTGTTTTTGGAGGAGACAAGCAGACATTATCAATGTGCTTGCCCTGGCTCAGTCCCACTTGTCACCAAGGTACACGCACCCATAATTAACACACACACATGAATAAACGTTGCGAAAACGATAGTTTGTTGTACTGTTTTTCGGCTCACTTCCGGTATCTGGAACCGGACCGAAGTTTGCATGAACCGTACCCCAGACCACCTCGTTCAGGCGAACTCGGGTACAGTTCACAGGTGGACACCCGAGTTCAGAATTCACAATAGCTAAACGTACCATACTCTGACATCAAACGAACCCGGGTGCGGACCAAAAGTGCTAGTGTGAAAGCACCTTAAGTCACTTGTAGGGTGCTTTCACATTAGCACTTTTGGTCCACACCTGGGTTCATTTGACGTCAGAGTACTAACGTTTTCGCAACGTTTATTTGTGTGTGTGTGTGTGTGTGTGTGTGTGTGTGTGTGTGTGTGTGTGTGTGTGTGTGTGTGTGTGTGTGTGTGTGTGTGTGTGTGTGTGTGTGTGTGCATCACATAATGTACTTTGGTGACAAGTGGGACTGGGCCAGGGCAAGTGATTATGTCTGCTTGTCTCCTTCAAAAACAGCTTCTGCAGACATTGCGTAATGTTCTGAACATTTATAATATTTTTGTGGCAAACAGACACGAGTCGCTTTCTGTATGTCCAAAACCAAAAGGTTCAGTAAAAGCAGAATCACTGCGATGTGCGTACGCCTTTCCATTTTGCAGATTTGTCTCATGACCGTCACCTAGTAACAATGGTCCACACAACAGCAACTCGTTCAGAAGGAAAAAAAGACGGTGTGAACACAAACCAACTGAAAAGGTGGCAAGGGGGGGACAATCGAACTTGGGTACGGACCAAGCAGATGAAGTGTGAAAGCACCCTAAGTCACAATCAATAAATCCATCTGCTACTGTATATAAGCAAATGTGATTTAAATATATATATATATATATATATATATATATATTTGTTTTTGCTATTATAAACTTGCAAGTATGTTTTCCATAACAGATGCATTTATTTTTAATACATTTTTTTCCCACTGAAAATTATTGTACATCATTTACATTGCCCAGAAACTTGGGAGGATCATAATGTAAAACAACGATATGAAAATTGTTATAAAAATGTTATTTAAAATTTTTTTTAATTGTTTCTATTTATAATTATGGCTATTGTTACACCAGTATTTTGCCTAACTGGATTGAGAACATCCAATCTATTGGTCATATAGTGGCATCACTGTAGCTTCTGTTTGGAGTTGGCTCCGTTTAGAGAGGATGAAACGCCATTGGAATGACTGTGTTTAGGATATCCAACCTTAGCCATTCTGCCACCCTCGGTTTTCCTCTTTTTGTATGTCTGTAGAGTAAAAGAATTTAATAGTTAACAACTGGTAACACTGGCAGCATGACAGAACACAGACAGCAATAGCCCCGATGACATACAAAGGCCCAATCCAAAAGAAGTGGAACACTTCAAAATAGCATTTGTGTTTTTTTGCTATAATCAGAAATACTTGTTTTCATTTATTTATGTTTTTATTTTTTTAGGCTACAGCCTGCAGCCCAAGACCAGTAACTCACTGAAGCTAAGCAGGGCTGAGCCTGGTCAGTTCCTGGATGGGAGACCACATAGGAAAACTAGGTTGCTGTTGGATGTGGTGTTAGAGAGGCCAGCAGGGGGTGCTCAACCTGTGGTCTGTGTGAGTTCTAATGCCCCAGTAAAAATTAAAGGGGACACTATCTGCTTGTTAAGTGGTGACATGTTTGTGACATATGTATACTGTTTCCGGGTCCAAGCCGCCATTCATTTGAGAGGAGAAACCATTCGTTTATGATAGCGTTTTATTCCTATCACATATTAAAGGTAATTTTACATAAATCATAGTGTACACAACAATCTCTGGGCTTGCTGCATAACAAATACCAAAATTTTAACAATTTACAAAACAATGAATCACTTTCTGGCCATCGGATATTAGGCATGGACATATATATTGCGATCGTGACTTTCGAAAGTATTAAATCACTTTGTAAACGTTTATTATTACCATTTCATGAATCTCCCCATTCAGTTGAATACAGCGCTTGGACCCGGAAGCCGCTCCGCGTGACGTCACACTTAACAAGCGGATACTGTCAGTGTGCGCCATCTTTCAGATAAGACACTTAAACCGAGGTCCTGACTCTCTGTGGTCATTAAAAAAAAATCCAATGGCACTTCTCACAAAGAGTAGGGGTGTAACCCTGGTGTCTTGGACAAATTCCCTCTCGGCCCTAAACCTTCGTGGCTTCCCAATCATCCCAATCCACTGAATTGGCTCTATCACTGTCTCTCCACTCCACTAATAACTGGTGTGTGGTGAGTGCACTGGCGCTGCACACTGGTGGTGGTGTAAAGAGACAACCCTCATGATTGTGAAGGGCTTTGGGTGTATGGCCATACACGATAAATGCGCTATATAAATACATACATACAGGTCACAAGGTCATACTTTCATCAAACATTGAGGCCATTGCAATAACAATAGCCACCATATTTTCTTCTCATATGCCACTTGCATGGGAAGTTTTGCTGTGCTGTCGATTTTAGTTATATCAAACATGTATATCTAAAATTTCCAAGTATACCTAAATCTCACCTGAATGTAGAAGTTGACAAACAGGACCACAAGTGTGCACATGTAGAAGGTTTGAAATTTCAGACATCCCAGTGGGAAACCACATGGAACGACCCATGCGCTTACTGTGTGTGTTATAGTCAGTACAAACTGAACCTGAGACAAAAAGAGGAAAGTTATGGAAACGCATGGAATAAAAAGAAGTGAACATAACATATTAAAATGGCAGGCAGGCATGTCTGGACGAAAGAAAATAGAAAAGGAAATGGGATAAGAGCACAGTATGCTAGTGTGCTTACTGACCAGCTGAGCCTGGGTGAGGTAACGTTTCCACCACAGATATTTGTGCATAGATGGGATGGTTGCCAGACCATAGTAAGAATACATGAGGACATGGATGAAACTGTTTAGAGTTGGCCCAAAGAAACCTGGAGAAAGATGTTGCAAAATTTAGCTTGAACTGCACCATTATTGCACTTGACCATGTGCACAATTTTGTCTCAATTAAGCATTTCCAGAAATGTAAAAAATATTACTAATTTTAATGTTAAATCTAATGAAAAATTGCTTGATACAATAGCTGACACACATGTTGTCCTCCTGGCTCACTTACTCTGTCCACATGGTATCCAGTTGAGGACACACCACCAGATGTTAAACATAGAGGCATGATGATACACATGCAGGAAACTAATTTGGCTGTTTTTCTTCCTCAGCACAATGAAGATAGTGTCCAGGAATTCAATCAGCTTCGAGAAATAGTACCACCATAGTACTTTTGCTACCTATACATGTAAAACAAAAGAAATGCCAAATAAAAATTAAGTGCACTGATTAATATATTTCTGGTTTTCCCCCTGACTGATGAAGCATAAAGCGTTTTAGTTTATAAAACACTATCTTTGAACATACAGTTGAAGTCAGAATTATTAGCCCCACTTTTGAATTTTCTTTTTCTTTTTTAAATATTTTCCAAATGATGTTTAACAGAGCAAGGAAATTTTCACAGTATGTCTGATAATATTTTTTCTTCTGGAGAAAATCTTAGTTGTTTTATTTTGGCTAGAATAAAAGCAGTTTTAAATTTTTTCAAAACCATTTTAAGGCCAAAATTATTAGCCCCTTTAAGCTATATTTTTTCAATTGTCTACAAAACAAACCATCGATATACAATTACTTGCCTAATTACCCTATCCTGCCTAGTTAATCTAATTAGCATCGTTAAGCCTTTAAATGTCACTTTAAGCTGTACAGAAGTGTCTTAAAGAATATATAGTAAAATATTTTAGTGTCATCATGGCAAAGATAAAATAAATCAGTTACTAGAGATGAGTCATCAAAACTATTATGTTTAGAAATGTTTTGAAAAAATCTTCTCTGTTAAACAGATGCTGAAAAAAAAGAACAAACAGGAAGGCTAATCTTTCTTCAAATGCATTTCCCATGACTATTTTCCAGTATGTGAGAAAAGTTCATTTCCACAAAATGTTTCTTAAATTACTAAAGCTGTACTGGAGTACATTTTACTAAATAAATCATCTCATGGTCTGAGAGTTGGGATGCTCTCATTGTCGATTCAAAAAAATATGAAACTATTGTAAATTGCTATGAAATAAACACACCATAATCGAAGACAGTCCAATTAAATAATAATAATGTTTTCTTTTTTTTTTTTTGGCAAGGCAGTGTTTACCACAACTACTCATTTACAAATGTCAGATGACAAAGCGGTTGACGCTACAGTATTGCTAACGCACTCCTGTGCGAGAGTGTAATAGTCATTAACTCAAAATTTAGCAAACCTCAAACATGGATATTTAAGGAACGTGTGCAGAAATAATAACTGTTAAATTTGGCCTGTTAACTCCAAATACATAAACAAACCAAAGCTTCCCAGACACTGCTCAGAGAGATGTATGTTTTTCTTTGGACTGGGGGGGTAACTAGAGCACCCGGAGGACACCCACATGAACACAGGGAAAACATGCAGACTCCACACAGAAACGCCAACTGGCCCAAGCAGGAACTCGAACAAGCGATCTTCTTGCTATGAGGCAACAGTTCTAACCACTGAGCCACCATGCCGCTCACAATGCATCTTTCTAAAGTAATTTTTTACCTCTGTAAATCATAGTTGATTTTTGACCTCCTTTTAAAATGGTGGATTGTCTAGATCAATATGTCAGATTGCAGTTGTACCCCAACGTCGTGGGGACGTTGCATTTTGTTTGGAAATAAAAATCGGGTTGACATCTGTCACCAATGTCAGGCCTACGTGAATGTTCAACTTAAAATCAACCAAATATCAACGTCTAATGACGTTACAGCTTGACATTGTGTGGACGGTAGCACTATGGCGTCTATAAGACGTTTTATTTTGGTTGACATACCTGACAAATAAATGTCTGCATTTGATGTCAATATGATGTTGGTTCAAGATGTTGGCTCGACATTGGATTTTGGTCACTTTCTATCTGACAACCAAAAATCAACCTAATATCAACATCATTTGATGTTGTTATTGGACATCAAAATAATGTTGTCTTTAGACGCTGGCTAAACATTACATTTTGGTCACCTGACATCACAACCTAAATCCAACCGAATATTAACGTCTTATTACATGTGCCTGCTGGGGAATAACTAAAAGCACTACAGAATGTTACATTTACATGTAAATGCATCAGCTTTATACAGCGTAATACTCACTACTCTTGAGTACTTTTGAAAGGGCTACTTTTTACTCTTACTTTGAGTAATATTTACAACAGATACTTTTACTGTAATTGCACTACGTTTAGGCACATTATGATACTTTTACTTGAGTATGATTTTTCAGTACTCTTTCCACCACTGTCACTGACACCTTGAAGATGAAATTCCAATATTTAGCATGCTAAATATTCCAGACCAGATGGATGACTCGACCCCACGTAGCAGTTAAGAACAGAGCAAGGCATATCAAAAGCTTTAATTTGGAGCAAAACAGATGCCTAGGAGTGGGAGTGACTTTATAGCACCAGATATATGTCACTTTTCTCACAGCTGATTGATCCGGTTTGGTTTCGAAATCTCTAACCCATTATAAGTCCTGCCCCAGAGCAGGTTAGTTGTGTGGCATACCTGTAAGTAACCATGTTGATGAAACACAACCCAGCTTCTTAAGTCTGAAAACTCAACTAAACTCAAACTTACCTTTGCAAAAACAGACCAAATTTGTGCAACAGGCCTCAGTACGGCTGTACAGCCATTTTGAAGTAAGTTTAAGTGAAGTTTATTTATAAACTAATTTCGAGAGGATCACGCGCTAATAATTGCTTGCAGCTGGCCCCGCATTATTTAATTTATAATTCACCAATCAGACGATTCCTAAGCCATTATAAATACCTTAAGTTTCATATGACAGCCATTTTTGTTTTGAAGAATCCCCCCTTCCACCCCTACTCCTCCTTCTTTCCTAGATGGTTGGCATGGTGGCCCAGTGGTTAGCACTGTAGCCTCACAGCAAGAACGTCACTGGTTCTAGTCCTTACCAAGCCAGCTGACGTTTCTGTCTGAAGTTTACACAATCTCCCTGTGCTCACGTGGGTTTCCCCCGGGTTCCTTAGTTTCCTCCCACCATCCAAAAACCATGCAACTTAAGGCCATACTCACACTATGTACAGTTGCCTTGAACCAGGCCAAAGCATGCTTGTTCCCCCTCCCGTCTCCCCCGACAGCCCGCACTCACATACAATCGGGCCTGGGCATGCTTACGTCATCGATGCTGCGCTGTTCAGTTAGCGCTGTCACTCAGCACAATGGAGATTTCTCTAGTTATATCGTTTCAGTCGTTTGATATGCAGTGACATGCAGTCAAATATTTCGCCAAACAGTCCTTAGGGATGCAGGGACACGCAGTCAGATATTTCGCAGCACAGATCCGTCACTTTTGGCACTCATAAACAGTCATAAAGCTCTCGTGCTGCAGGAATGAGGTTTGCTGAAGGTGCACAGCTGTCGTGCACTGAGGAGTTTGAGTCTTTAATAATGTACAGCAGTTTGCGTTTACTGAACAGTAAGAATGATTAATAAATCCATATGGAACAGTCCCTTAAAAGTCACGTCTCGCTTTCAGTTTTGGGCTTTGGCGCGTTTTGCACTTACACTACAAGTGTACCGCGCCAAAGCCCAAGTGAATCACGCTCAGGCCCACCTCTTCCAACCGGGCCAGGGCCGGCCAAGTGAACCGTGCTTGAGCCCGATTCAGCACACTCACACTTCTCAAACGATCCGGGAAACGGGCCTGGGCACGGTATGGAGGGCATAGTGTGAGTAGGCCCTAAGTTAATTGACTAATGCAAATCGGCACCATAGACATGCTCCTAGTAAGTAGTTATCGCTTAAAAGCAATCGCTATCTGTTCATTAGCTACTACAGCAGGGGAGTTCTCGAAATCTACCTGTGAAGCTCAAACTCCCCTCTCGCCTTGCAAACGGGAGGGAGTCAAGTGCTCGAGGATCTTATGAGCTCAGGGCTCTCTTCTGGGACAGCATGCCAAACAAGCTTTATAAACAATCATCAGCTAAGTGTGGAACTATCTTTAGGCCTTCAAATTTATAGTTTAAAGCTACAAAATAAGTATAAAATTAATATGGTAAGAAAACCGCATATGCAAATAAATCTGCAAATAGCAGAATAACTGTTGTTTCAGTTGCTTGAATAATATTGCTTGAATAAAGGTTGTTAGCAGTTGTGAAAGCTAATGGTCCTGCTCACCCTGGATAATCACTCTAAAGCCATGCATCCTACAAACCACTTGAATGTGCACAGGCAGCTGCAGACCGGTGACCAAATGTGACAAGATGTGAGAGATTATCTCATTCTCCAGTGAGAAAATATTATAGTTCAGGGTGCATATTATTACATTAGCAGCATAATAAGTGCGTGTGTCTACCAACGTGTTTCATCCCAAAGCCAAGCACATTGTTTATTGTGGTTTTAAAAAGAGAGCCATGCTTTTAGAATATTGTTTAGATAAAATTTTGTTGGAAAACATGAGTGCAATCCAGATGTAAAGAGTAGTTCAACCAGCATACCAAAAAATGTTTTTGATACAAATAATCTAGCTTGCATTTAATAGATATATGAGAGCGTCATACTTGTATCAGTACCTACAGCATCAGTATTTTCACGAGCAACAAAAATGGTCTGAGCAGCATAACGAAATAATGGGATGTGCTGTATTTCTTACCCTGATATCTGCTTCACCAACTTCGTCCAGTGCCTGACACTGAAGACGGTAACCTGCAGACCAGACTGCTGATATCAGCTACCAAACACATGAAGCACAGCATTAGGTAATCGCTTAAAGAGAACTCGACATTGGCAGATGAGCACATGGACTGCTATTGTAAGATCCAAACAAACTGTATGCTCACTTACCTCAACCAGCATGTAGAAAGACAATACAGTAACAGAGAAGTTGTACAGCAGTAAAACATTTTTCAGTGAGTATGCTGGTCTGTTTCTCATGTATTTTGTTCCCAGGTAGATTGTTAGGAGGTAGGTGATGGTGAGCAAAAATGTTGGTGTGTAGGAATCCAGCAGCAGCCATCCTCTCACGCGGGTATCTGACATCAAACAAACATGTCACTTACTCAATATGTCTGGGTAAGATCATTTTCAGGCAATCTTCTTAAATACAATACTTTCAAACTTTTTGGGAAAACTAAGTGGCCAAGGGAAAACAATCTATGCACCGAATGCATGATTATATTTTGTCATACTAACATAATTCACACGTCACTGGATTCTGGATCTGTCCCATCTTCACTTAAAACGGTTGTAATCACCCCAGTACTAAAAAAAACTGGAGCTGATTCATCTAATTTGGCCAACTAATTTGAGCTCTTCCAGTCTGGCTTTTCATTCCAGCCATAGCACTGAGACTGCTCTTGTCAAGATTACTAATGATTTACTACTGGTAACAGACTCTGGTTTACTAACAATTCTTATTCTTCTGGACCTGAGTTCAGCTTTTGACACAGTTTCACACTTTTCAAGTACTTTTGAATAGGCTTGCCTTAGTAGAGATCTCTGACACCCCTTTTTATGGTTTAAGTCATATCTCGCAGAACATACTCAGTTTGTCCAAATTAAGAATTTTAAGTCAAGATCTCAGATTGTCACAACTGGTGTCCCACAAGGTTCCGTACTGGGTTCAGTCCTATATTTCATATATCTATTGCCTCTTGGTCACATTTTTTAAAAATACAACATACAGTTTCACTGCTATGCTGACGACACTCAACTCTACCTGTCCACTAAGCCCTCCACTTCTTTTCCTCCTTCAGCTTTGAGCAGATGTTTAGGTGAAATAAAAATATGTCTTTCAGCTAACTTCTTAAGATTAAATAGTGACTAACCTAAAACACTTCTCATCAGGACTAATGCTGCGTTCACACCAGACGCGGAACGCACGTCAAGCGCAAGTGATTTACATGTTAAGTCAATGCAAACGCGCGAATAGACATCCTGCGGCGCGATACGCGTGAATGGCGCGGCGCGAATGACGAGAATTGGGCGGTGCGCATGGCATGAATGGCGTGGCGCGAATTGAGCGTTTTGCGCATTTGATGCACTTAATGCACGTTTTGCACGAATCACTCGGACACACACGGAAATTCGCGCAGCGTTAACCAATCAGGATCTTGCTCTTGTGGGGGCGTGATTGTGACGTATCGCCTGTTGTCGGTGTCCCAGGGGAAATCCCCCAGCAGACACCGCCAAGAAGTTCATCAAACTGGGCTGGGCTCAGTCAGAAGCACTGCTGAAAACCTCCATCAGCCAGGTTAAGTTTCTGGAGGAGTCTATGAGCTTAAAGAGCTGGATGCACCTCTGAAAGGATGTAGTGGACTCAGACACGGCTCTAAACGTATCGACGCTGTTTATCATCCTTCATAAAGCACAATACCACTGTTATTTTCTTCATAAAATCCATGTTAGCCCTTTAGCTATGAAGCTAGAGTCACCGGGCAGACAGAAGCCCTGCCCATCACGCGAATCCGCGTCTGTTCTGAAGTGAATTTGACGCGCGAATGAAGCGGGGTTTGACGCGCAAATGAAGCGAGTAACCTCAAATGTTCACGCGGCTATTTACGTGCGAATAGCGCAATTTATCCGCGCGTTCCACGTCTGGTGTGAACACAGCATAAGGGTGCTTTCACACCTCGACTTTTGTTTCGGAACCGGTCTCGTTTGCCCAGTTAGCACGATTCGTTTGGCATATGTGAATCCAGCAATCCGCTCTATTGACACAAACAAAAATTAGGAGAAGTTCTAGTCTAATGTAATTATTTGGGTGAGATAGATTTAATAACCCATTTACATATGCTGGGCAAAATATCCCTTCGTGTTTTTGTGTGTCTTGTTTCTCGTCTTTGGCCCCTGGTCTGTCCAGCCCTGCCCCTTGTGAGTTACCGGCTGCTGGTATCCTCTGCCAAGCTGCTACTGGTTGAGAGACTACAACCCTCCAGTGACTGTACTCTACAGTGACTCGTCCAAGGCCTTCACCACCATCACTCACCCACTTCACTTTGTCTGTCCATCCACCCCACATTCTGCATTTGGATCCTCCTTCCAGAGTCATGACAGAATAAACTGGCTAAAACCTGGACCCAGTTTCAGTCCTGTTCAATTTTAAATCAACCCATGGAGCTATCACTCACCCAACTCCAGCTGAGCTTCTTGACTCTACCACAGTCCCATTATGAAACCACTGAATTTCCTTCCATTATCCAAAGATCTGTCAAGTCAATTCCCGTGTTCCAGCCTACAGTGCCTGTTCCTGTCTCGATAGTGTTTCCTGCCACTTCACCTTCACAAGTCTGCTGCAGATACTACAGAGATGAAGAAGTGTGCTGTTTCTGCCGATTGTACGTGACGAAAGATGTTCCCCAACACCATGGTCCTTTTGTCCCAAAAAAAAAAAAACAGATTTAGTCAGCCCAGTTTTTCTTTGCTATCCATCATATCAGTCCCAAAAAGTCCATTAACTCCACTGCAGAGGCCTTTCTGTGTTATTTGCCTCTCTTGGCAAACCTACAGAGAGATCTTGTCACTCCATTAAAAGTGAATGCCCGGAGTCTTTTCAAATCCCGCTCACCCTTCTGAGATGGCCATTCCAGAGCCATCTTACGCTCCAGAGAGAGCTGTCCCAGAGTGGGCCTCTGCTCCAGAGATAGCCATTGCAAAACCTGCTCCTGCTTCAGGGAGAGTAGCCCTTGAGTGTTTTCGATAGATGGCATCAGTACTGTGAAATTGAGGCTTCAGCCCCAGAGCATAGCGCAGGGCCAACGTCAGCCCCTGAGTGTTTTACAGCAATGACTCCAAGCACCGTAAAACAAAGACTTCAGCCCCAGACCACAGTGAAGTGTCGACTTCACAATCATTTTCCAGAGATTTATCCATCCCTGACGCTGTGTGATGAAGTCTTCAGCTTCTACGCACAGAGCAACGTCTTCAGCCCCTGAAAGTATTCAAGAGAGGGCTTCAGTCACCAAGCACTATGTGAAGACTTTTGACCTCTGACCAGTATCAGCTCCAAACCCTGTACCTTGTAGAGTGTCTGCGTCTGTCTTTAATCCAGTTCCTGCTATCTCTATACACTGTCCTGTGTCTGTTATTGTCCCCAAACCAAGTGTTTCTCCTGAACACAACAGAGTGCCAACTTCTGTCCCTGAAATACACTCTGTTGCCCATGAACTCATCCTATGTCTGTTCTTGTCCCTGAACCAGTTATTGCTTCCCCTGAATGCAGCCGAGTAACTCCTCCTATGCTTAAACAAGTTTGTTGGCCCTGGGAACTGTTTTACCAAGCTTCTTAGTAAAAGTTGCACATGGGTCCCATATCCATTGACTCTTCATTACAAAAGTAGAGAAAATATGAAAGAAAAAGATTTTGTACTACTCTTTCAGCTTTATTTCCTTGCGTCTGTGTTTCTGCAGCTGCAATTTGTGACAGTTACCAGCTAAACTAAAAGACACAAGACTTTCTCCACAGAAAAATATAATAAGAAATACTGTGCAAAAGTCTCCAACTCTACAGTATATAGGACACATTTTGCATCCAAATCTGAATCATTATGACATACTGCTTTGAGGTACAAAGTACTCTAGTTATCTGAATGCTGTTAATACAGATAATGCAAATGGTATTGTGAAACAACAGGGATTCTCCAAAACTGATTATAGGCAATTTCATAAGATATGAATATAAGCAACTTTACTGCTAAAGAACAAAAAGTTATTCAAGTGTAAGGATTAAGACTGCTACCTTGATCAAGCTTGAGGGGACCTATCAGGTTTCCCTTTTATGTTCCCCTCAAAGGGTTAGATTATTAATTATATATACATTTTGCATTCCATACACAGTAATTAATGGATAACAATGTGCATCCTCCATACTTCTTTTCCACTTTTGAGTCACTGGAGTGGGTCACAGGTCTATGCCAACATCTTAAAAGGTGCCCTGAATTTATGACAGATTTCCCAAAGAAAAATATCCTGACTCAAATTGCAACTGTACCACCTTATTTATTTTTGTATTTAGGCTCCTTGCAAACATACAATGTTGTAAGTTACCTATTAATACAATTTAAAGATCAGGTAATAACAGTTTTCATCAATACCAGTAATTCAGTTAAGAATTGTGTACAGTTGAAGTCAGCAGCTAGCTCTCTGCAACTCTCACATGGTCACCCAATGAAGCTAAGCAGGGCTGCGCCTGGTCAGTATGGATGGAAGACCACATGGGAAAGCTAGGTTGCTGCCGGATGTGGTGTTAGTGTGGGCAGCAGGGGGCGCCCAACCTGCGGTCTGTGTGGGTCTTAATGCCCCAGTATAGTGACAGGGACTCTATACTGCTCAGTGAGCGCCGTCTTTCGGATGAGACGTTAAACCAAGGTCCCGACTCTCTGTGGTTGTTAAAAATCCCAGAATGTCCTTCGAAAAAGAGTAGGGGTTTCAGCCCGGCATCCTGGCTAAATTTGCCCACTGGCCTCTGTCCATCATGGCCTCCTAACCCTCCCCATATCATAATTGGCTTCATCACTCTGGCTGCGTCCGAAACTGCATACTTCCATACTATATAGTACGCTAAAATCAGTATGCGAGCCAAGTAGTATGTCCGAATTCATAGAATTCGAAAATCAGTAGGCGGAAAGTACCCGGATGACTTACTACTTCCGGCAAGATTCTGAAGTGCGCATCCCATGCACGCTGCGCTATCCCATAATGCCCCGTGAGAGAATTCATGAATGGAAGGGAGGCGACGCAACTGACCCAGGTAGGTCACGTGACCGTGACAAAATGGCGGATGTAGTACGTCTGAATTCCCTTCATACTTTTTACATTCATACTGTATAGAACGTACTTTTCTAACGGCCGAGTAGTTCGTTTAAATTCAAATGCAGTGCCTACTGAGTAGTAGGCGGTTTCGGACGCAGCCTCTGTCTCCTCTCCACCAATCAGCTGGTGTGCGGTCTGGCACAAAATGGCTGCCGTCGCGTCATCCAGGTGGATGCTGCACACTGTTGGTGGATGAGGAGATTCCCCCCTATTGTGTAAAGCG